TAGCACGATAGCCTATATCTGATATTTTGCAAGATCTCTCTGATTTATTGTGAGCGAACAAGAAACCTAACATATTTTATTTGCAATTTATTACTTTCTGTGAAGTATATTTTGTCTGCTTGTATGGTAGTTAATTGGCAATCTGGTTGTAGTAGGATATTTATTTTATACTTTTTTTTTTATTCTTCTAAACAATCCTTATTGATTGGTCAGAAGAAGTAAAACAATACAGACAGTTATTTCATTTTTAAAATAATCAGAACAGCAACAGAATTTTCTAGACCTCTTATAACATTTTTTTTATTTGTTCAGAAATTGAAACTATTAATCATTTTCACATTATTATTTTTGATAATGTAAACCTGAATTAAAAAAAAAAAATATTTTACTATTGGTTTCATAATATTTGAGCAGTTTTTTTTTTCAATTGATGGGTGTAAAATAAAATATCGTTCTTATCAACAAACTATAGATATTTAGAAGGGAAAGGGAATGAATTACAAAATTAGTTAAATTAAACTGTCTGCATCCTTCATATTTCGTTTATTTTTATTCTTGAGTTATTAGAAACAATGTTTTATTTTGTTTTGTTGTTTTTGTTTATGTATTTATGTTTTTGTTTGTTTTATTTTTTGTGTTTATGTTTGTTTTTAACATGCTTTTCCATTGTCAGGATTATATGAGGTCAAGGTATTGCTCAGAGGCCTCTTTGCCGAGGAGATCTAGGAGTTATGGAACCATCACCTATCCATTTAGATATCACCCTCAGGTAGGCTTCGGTATTTCTTAAGCCTCGCTCAGGACTATGGGGCAGATCTGCTTATTCTGATTGAGGCATTTAGTAAAACTAACAATTAAACAACTATTAAAAGAAATAGCATTTTTCAGTAAGTAGGTTTTGGGCCCTAATTGGATATTTACTAAACAATTTTAATTCCTTCATCCCAAAGTAAACAAAGGAATGATGGAAGTCAACGCTTTTTATTTAACCAAATGCAATGGCTTAAATTTTAACAATTGTTATAAGAAAGGGAAGATATCTACATAGGTTATGTGCTATAATTGATAAACTCAGCTTGTAACTTATATACAATTGAAAATGTTCATTATTTTTATAATACAGATATTGATGATAAAGGAGTGTTTTATAAAAAAAATAATAGTAATAAATTATCTTCATTATAGAAAACATTTATAATAATAGTAAAAAAAATTGTGTTCTTGAAATTAAACACTGTAAATTGAATCCATAAAGAGTAATAACTTGTTTAAATTTGAACAAAATTAGTTCATTGACATACTAATCAATTTTGACACTATTCATTATTTTAATTATATTCAAAGTATGTCTTTCTTCACTGTAAATACTTAACAAAAGAAATGAGATATTAACTGGACAGTTTACTTTTACCAATCCCGAAAAATAATTACATTTGTGTATTCATGAGATCCTAAAATCAATCCTTTTAATGGGCATGATGCTCTTCTATTATCTTACTTTTAGACCAATTATCTTAGTAACTTCCTCAAAGTAAGATAGATATATAGTATTCAGTGTTCAACATACTGAAAATTATATCACAGTCATAGTAGTTTTAAGTAATAATGTTTTCAAGAATTTTCTAAATGTCATAATTTAAGAAATTCACAGTGGTTCCTAAACTTTGCAAGCTGGCCGAAGTGATTTTTGTTTTTCCATGCTTTTCATTTGGTTCCATTGCCTTTGCTTTGCTGGTTCTGCTGGAAAGTATGTTGTTCTTGATGTTGGTTCTTGGGATGGCCCTTCAGGCTTTCACATTATCCCTTCTGTCCCATTTTTGGGTATTCATGGAGATTAATGTGGCTGACCCCACATCCTGTGAAAGGCAGAGTAGCATGTCACCAGCTCATCTCAGATAGTAGAGGGTCTTAAATTGGAGATTGCCGATTGATATCAATCAATCGAGTATATCAATCAAATCGAAGTATATCAATCAATAATCACTTTTTCGACCATAAGTCCTTTCTTCTTAGTTAAATAATTAAATAAGACTCCAATTGATGATTAATTGATCTCACCCAACTTTCAAACCTGAAACATTAAAAGTCTCTTCAGAGAAAGACATTTCTTCTTCAGATAAATGTGACTCCATACATGAATTTTCAATTTGTATTCGTCAATGAAGATTATAGGGCTCAAGATATGTTCCTATTCCCATCATATCTCCAAGGCTCACTGTTATTTCAAGTTTTTAGTTTATTTTTTTTTAAAACTGCAGTTTTTATCTTATAAACCTTCTTTATTACTTGCATTCTATAACAGATCAAATTTACATGATTTTTTTTCCATTCAGCTATCTGATTCATTAATTTAAAAAGTGTAGTGTATTATTCCCATGAATATGGCGGTATTCAAGTATTAATTCCTATTTCTAAGCAGGCAATTGGTACATGGTGGTCTGTGTCTATTTTCCAAGGAGGTTAATTGGAAACAATATATTTCTGTCACCTTTTGTCATTCACAGTTCCCTCCACCTGATATGGGTGTTTCTTATGAAAGCCCAGCACATTTATCAACTTATTCAAAATTTCAGTGACATAATGGCAATGATAACATTTATAATCCTCAATTAAGCTGTTCTAGTGATATAACAAAATTAGAAATGGCCATTGAAACTTATTACATATTTCTGTAAATGAACAAGTATAGTTCTGTGAGACACGCCTCAAAAATGGTAAACCGATTAAAGATATTCAAATGAGATAAGAAGCTTCTATAATTCTTAGCTGGGTATTATTAGCTCAATGTACAGTAACATCCCTGTTCTGTATTACATCAATGGAACAATTTCAAGAGTATATAGTCATTTGTATAAACATTCCTTAGAACAACATAACGAATGGCATGAAGCAATATTGTATTCTAATGTCTATAAAAAAGGTATGTATACATTTACTTGTGTATATGCTTTTTATATATTTCATTTCCATAAAATAAAAATATTTTCAAGCGAACCATTAGTAATTGACACCTTTGTATTTTCCATTCTCAAGTAATAGACAGTATTATTCAGCACATTGTAAATTTTTAATGGTGCATACAAAGTACAATTCAATGTCCTCTAAAGGATGTTTTTGCTCAGCAAGGATAACTGTGATGTTCAAACTGACTACTTTCTGTTTGGAGAACTGCATTACATCTCTTATAAAAGTGTAAAAAGTAAAATTCTCTTATAAAAACTCATTGATAATAAATTAAGATATCTAAATATTTTTCAAAGCTGTTTTATTTTTTGAAAAAGGAACAATGTTTTTTCATTACAAACATATTGAGCTAAAATGCCCCTATTTTTGATCAGTACTAGTTTCTTCCTGATGGCTGACAGGCCTCTCTTGATGGGATATTTACTTGTTAATATGAGATAAAAATTATAAGGATCATTTTTATCTGTCCCAAAAAACTCACATTCTTCTCTAATATAATCAGAATAGGCTAATGTAAAATGGAGAGTGTTTTAGTTGAAAAATCGAAGAGCAGAGATAAGATATTTGATCCTGGGATAATCTTTTTTTTTACCTTAGTTCCTGATTCAAATTTGATACATATTGCAAAGGTAATCGAAACAGTAAAGTGAGACTCAAGAAGAGATTTATGGCTCATATAATTGGTTTTGACTTTAGTGTCCTGTTTGTTTTGTTAAAATAAAATAGTTTATCCATTTTTTTTTAAGAATATGCTCATTCAGAATTTAGGAAATGTTGGAACTTAGTTATTGAACCATTAATATTAATGAATTAAATTAGCTTACATTATTCAATAAATTTTACATTAGAGAGATGTGGCATTACAGAAGCTTCAAGATTTTGAAGTAAAATAAGGGATTATAAGGTTTTAGAAGATAAGTATGATAGATGAATGGAAAGCTTGGATATGGAGTATAGATCTAAATTTGAGATACAAGAGTGATGTTAATTTTAAGGCCAAGTTTTTCTAAGAATTTTTGTGAGAAAGTTGTATGGCAATGGTTAATGATATTAAAATAGACTTTTAAGAAGGATTTCTGCAAGTTACTATTGAATTTTAGTGGAATTCAAGCAAAATTAGTACTCGGGATTTGAGACAAGAATAATAGCTGTATTTTTTATTGATTCTATTTATTTCTGTGAAGTTAATAATGATTTCTTGTTTGTTGAAAATTATACGAATAAGGAGAAGGTTTTAGATGATTGGCTAATCGTTTTTTGACTTATTAGATTTAAAAGAATTGTCAAGAATAACCTGGAACCTTCTATAAGCTATAAAAACCTTGTCAAGATTGCTAGTGAAGGAGACTTCAGTTAGTAGTATATTGTAAAATAAATGTAGTTCAGTTAATGGTGTTCATCCAGTCTGGTCCAGTTAGTTATTAGTTCTTGAAGATACAATTGAAAAGTGAATTATTTTGATTGTGATTAGTCAATTAATTCTTTAAGAAGAATGCTGTCATCAGTGTTACGTTTATATTGTTTTGCAAAATGTCAGTTGTATTTGTATTTATTCAATGAAAGGCCTTTGTTTAGGATTTCATTTAAAAATAATCATCAATAAATTACTAAATTTATTATTTTTGTTGTTATTAAAACTGAAATTATTACATTTGGAAACTTAAAGAGGAACTGAACAAAAGATGAAATATTATTTTATTTGGTGCCTAAACATGGACTTGAAAGACATATTATAATATGGTAAAATTTGTTATTGAGATATTGAAGAAATTCATTGGAATTAGATGGGAGAGATTGAACTTAGATTGGTGAATAATATCTTAGTGGTAATAACATGAGTACAATTTTATTTTAGAAAAAACAAAGGTGTCACAATAAAAACAATCCACATGTTTTACACATTTGCTAAATCCATTCAGTATTGTTGATTCTTATCCCTCCTACTTCCCTATACCACAGACCCATCTGCCTGTGACGGTGTGAAGGTAATTTACCTATTGAGGTCTAAGTTTCTATCGATTTTTATATGTCTGCAGGAGGAGTTGGGTATCATAGTATCAATGGAGGATGGCCTTGTACTTTACATCACCCCAGCGCTGACTGATGTCCTCGGTTACCCGAAGGACATGTGGATTGGAAGATCACTAATAGACCTCATTCATCCCAAACACCGAGCATCCTTTGCAGGGCACATCACTTCCGTCATTGCTAACAACGAAGCAGGTAATAAATTCCAAATCAACATTATAATTATTTTCATAATGAATTTTTCCTCCTTTTTATAAACTAACTTAAATAGAAAGGAAAGTTATCAAATAGCTTATTAGCATAAATGTTAATAATAGCATGTATTTTAGAATCCTCTATCATACTTTTCAGATACTCTAGTCAAAACTTCCTTTGTTAGATGATACAAAATGGTTCTTTTTGTTGAATTTTCATTGAATAATTAATAATAATTCATTAATAATAATAATAATAATAATAATGTTATCCTTAGGATCTACTAGACGCAATCCATACTCATGTTACCTGCGGCAGTATCGAGGTCTGCGAAGTTCTGGTTTTTCAGTGACAGAGAAATGGGTTGGTTATTTACCATTGCAGTTGAATATTAGCTTTCAGCAAACTATTGGCGAAACTCCAAAGGTTTGCCTAGTCATCACAGCTGCCCAGATTAAATCAGCATATAAATGTAAGATGGAAATTATTTTTTAAATACTATTCAAATTAGCTGTTAGCTTCCTCTATTCTATTATTGCTAAATTTTGAGAATTATTTTATCATCTAAAAACTTGATAAATATTAATTATCTAACATTCATAATTTTGTGATTATATATTAAAATTCCTATATTTTTAAAAATTGTTATCTGATTCAATTTAAAATTTTCAAATTGTAGATGGTGATGAGACTAGAGTGTCAGCAAAATTTACAACCAGGCATACAGCTTCTTCGCAGCTCTGCCATGTTGATTCTGAAGTAACTCCATATTTTGGATATTTACCTCAAGATATCATTGGCAGATCAATCCTAGAATTTTATCATCCTGAAGATTTGCATTTTTTAAAAGAAGTATATGAAGCAGGTACTTTTTTTATTTTGATATATTTTTTAATTCTTCAGATCAAAGAACAAAACACATTTATATTTTCATAAATTACAAAGCATAATCTTTTTTTCCAAATCAATCTTGGCAAGTCCCTATTGCATCCACAGATTTTAATTGATAAGAATTTTTTTTTAAATATCTGTTTTTCATTGCAAATTTCAATTCTTTTCCAAAATCTATCATCTTTTAGATTCTGAAGCAAACTTTTACCAGTTGCCAGTTAAACCAGCGGCTCTGTAGCTGCATAATTTTGAAAATTAAATTAGTCACTGTAATATATTTCTTACAAAATTATTATTTATAATCTCTACACCATTCTTGTTTATTTTCAGTTATGAAAGAAGAAGGTCACCTGTTTAGGAGTAAGCCATATCGGTTCCGCTGTCAGAATGGTGGTTTCGCTCTTGTTGAAACTGAACTCTCTTCATTCATCAATCCTTGGTCGAGGAAACTTGAGTTCATCATTTGCCAGCACACTGTCCTAAGGGTAAGGGAATAGAGAAACTTATTTATCAAATATCGTTAGTAGAAAATATGGTGCAAATTACTATATTTTCAATGTTTTGCTCTGAAAAATTAAACCAATTTGATATTTTGGCTTATTAATTTCAATAACTAAACTCTAACTAATCGAACAAGAAAAAACTATTCCATTCCCTTTCAAAATTAGAGGTTTTTTGTTTCAAGATAAGAAGAATTCAGATTAAAAAAAATTGTCCTTTTTTATTTCATTTACCCTTTATCACACCATTTCTGGGGCTGTTCCAGAGCTACACTCTAAGCTATTGTAACGAGAGTGAAAAGATCGAGATTCATTCTGTGAGTCTGCCGCAAAATAAATTTCAACCCATTCTAATCGGATTCGAACCGGCATTGCTACCTTTGAGAATGTTAAAGCTGGCAATGTCATCTATCTACCAAACACCATCCATGTCTTTATTTCAAGACCAAAGTCACTGATCACTGCAGGATGATTCAAGGAATGCGACATTGCCATTTGGTTTCAAAATAGTACTTGATTAGAGATATTATATAACCGTATCTGAGCAATTTAATAAGTTGAAGGAAAAATTTGTTTTAGAATTTTATGCACTCCAATGAAACATGTGTCCTATCAATTAATAACGACCCGACCATTGCATCCCAACCTCTTGAATCCCACATCACAAACCTTGAAGAGAGGTGTCAAAACTGGAGGATTAAAATAAATTCCAATAAATCACATTTATCCTTCGTCATAAACCTATGACTTCTCGACCTGCAGTATCATTTAATAATACCCGACTTATCTCTGTTTTTGACAACATACAAATGACTTTTGTAATCAACAAAGAAAAAATTGTTTAATCCTCCATTTTTCAGAAAATTTTTTGAGGATCATTTGAAAGTTTATTATATTCCGTACAAAATAAAAACTTTTATTTTCCTAACACTAATATTTTATAGTACAGTTTATATCATTTTCAATATGTTTTGAGTATTAAATAATTTAGTTCAATAACAATTATTAAATGCTGTTAATATATAAATTTTCCGATGACCATCATTGTTAAAATACATTTGTTCTGTGTAACATTCATGTTTAAATGTTTTATTTTAATGTTTTAAAGGGCCCGCCAAACCCAGATGTCACAACTCCAGTGGCAGAACCAGAGGCTCTTACAGTATCAGAAGAACTTTTAAAAGAAACAAAAATAGTCCATGAAGAAATCAAACACCTTCTTAATGATGTGAGTTAGAAAGGTTTTATCTCAACCAATTATTATTTAACAATGAAAAAATAATAAATTTAACACATAATAATAATGTTTAATCATTTATGATTTGAATACAGTTTATGTAATATGATATCTATAGATGGCATTTTGCTTTACTAATATCTATTATAAAGTATAAACATAGATAGCTGTCATAAGGGCTGTTAATAGAAGGTAGAATAATGTGCAAAAAATTTATATTTTTTGATTCCAACGAAAATTCTAATTTAAGAGTTTTGGATGTGCGAAAAACTAATATCATCTTTGTTTATCACCAAAAAATATATTTCATGGAATAACATATGTATAATACATGATATATTCTTATTTTCGGATCAAATCTTGATAAAATAACAGATTTTCTGAATGTAATCTTACTTTCGATGTCCGTCTGGTTTAGAAAAAAATATATATTTAGCATACAGTTATAGTATGAGTACAGTATTGAAACAATTAGTACTGACCTAAGGAGTAAAGTAGATTCAAATATTTTTTTAACTAGAGGGGAGTAAAGTAGGTTCAAATATTTTTTTAACTAGAAACAAAGTTGTGATTAGTATTCCGCAACCTCGAAAAACCTTTAAATACGAATTTTTATCTATCTATGTTTTGAGTTGTCCATGTTTGTGAGGCATAGGTCAACACCAGCCTAATCAAAGTTTTATATAATCTTGCCTTAATTTAGGGCCCCATGAGATACACAAATGGCACGAACCAGACACATTTAAATAAATTAAGCTCGGAGATAAAAAATAAATATGTTTGGGAAGTTTTTATTTATTTATTCCTTATTAAGGCATACAATTAGAAAGTTATTGATATGGTTTTGAAGAGCAATAATTTAGCTTTCCAACAATTATAATAATATTGACTTAAGAGAAAATCCTGAAGAGTTATGAATATTTTAGTAAATGGTATAGAAAAAAATACTCCCATAAAATGACGTCTAAAAATTTATATTTTTTTATTTCAAAACAAACTCGTATTTAAGAGTTTTAGTGGTCACTAAAAACGAAATCTGAATAGTTTCACTTAGAACTGGTCCCAGTTCTAAGTGAAACTCCTTGATGAACACACCTCCCTGATGAAGACCTGCAAAGTCGGTTCGAAACGTCAGCTTTCAATAAAATAGTTTTACCACTATTTAGCCTATTTATGACTGCAACCCCGGACCATCTCCTTCCTTTTTTGAAATCTGAATAGGTTTTTCATGACAAAAATTTATTTGGCCTACTATATTGGAAGCGCCAATAAGTTTTTGTAATTTCTTATACATTAGAATTCGTTTAATATAATTAGTAATATGTCTTTCTTATTTTACAAAAAAAAAAATCAATTGATATATAATAACTTATAACTCCATGCAAAGCAAAGTCAAAAAACAGTAATTAATATTTTAAAAAAATACAATTTCATAAACATATTTTTTCTCGGCTCCTAGAGTACATTAACAAGAACCCTTTGATATAGCTCTTATATATTTTTTGGCCTAATATCACCTAAAAATAGTTTCATTGAAATCAGTGACCCTGCGTCCGTAACCTCCCCTGGTTGATTTTTTGCAATTAACCGAATAATTGATAATTGAAATATATGCTGCACTCACTTTAGATGGTATTTTAAAGTTTTTTTCTAACAAAACTCTATTGAGAAACTTGAAGTTACACTTTAATAAAGTATCTATTGTTTAGTAATAAGTATCTTTAATAAATATTCTGTTACAGACTGTAGTGCGAAGCTGTAAAACAGCCAAGCAGCAAGTGACAAAACGTTGTAAAGATCTGGCAGCATTCATGGAAAATTTAATGGACGAACTTACCAAACCACCAGATTTGAAGGTGGATGTTCCAATGGAGGAACAGAGTTTCTCAGTTAGTATTTATTTTATATCAATCTAACAAAACAATATATTCAAATAATTTCTGATTTACCCAATGTTTATATCACTTAATATGTTTTTGTTTTGTTTTTATTTCAAAGGAAAGAGATTCTGTTATGCTCGGTGAGATATCTCCTCATCATGAATTTTATGATAGTAAATCATCTTCAGAAACTCCACCGAGTTACAATCAGCTCAATTACAATGAAAACATCCAGAGGTAATTAATAATATTAAAAATAATATAGAAAGAAGATTATTGAATGTTCTACATATTTTTCACCAAGAAATAGATATATTTCATAATCCTTTCCAGAAATTGCATGCGAATCTAAGTTATGAAAATGGAACGTCTTTAAAAAAATTACAAACAGCTGTTATTTTCTATAGTATTTTATATGCCCATTATTTAATAATCTACCATTGTTCAGAAACTCCACCAAAATGTTATACCACCTCTGAGACCAAATAATATTATTGCTCTTTATTGAACTAGTGTACCCAAATTGTGGGACATCATCTGACAAAATGGATTGGCGGTATATTTAACAACTAATTCAAGGGAAGTTGGGTGAGGATGCAATATGCTAAGAAAAAAACCTTCATACCTTCCAAAAACCTTCTAAAATTAGTTCTAAGGTCACCGATATGTCCACAATTATTTAATCAAATTTTGCCTCATATATAATCTACATTTTGTCTTTTATTCACATTGTTTTAAGAACTATACTATATTTTGTATATCAGATAAATTTCCAATATTAAAAATAAATTGTTGGGTTATTGCCAAAAGTCATTAAGTGACATTTTATAACCCTGATGAATTTTCCCTTTGTGAAATCAGAAAATTGTGTGCTTGTTTACTTATACTTAACTATATTTGATGTATAGAAAGGTTTGTGTCATTTTATTGCACTTACTATATGTTTTTAAGAATAAATAATGCCAAAATTGATTTTAAAAAAGTTCATAAAACTTTGACTCTATCAAAAATTTACTTAGTGATTGTTTGTAATAAACCAATGGTATTAATCATTTTGTAGTTATTGTTATAATCTAAATTAATCCATTTTGAATTTGTTAAGCTCTTTATTGTCTCAATGGATTTATAATTTTTGCTATTAAGGTCATTAAGCATTACCCTGATGATGATCCACATGCTTGGTTCGAAATGTCAACAAGCCTACTAAAACATATCTAGACTGAAAATCATGACTATTTATTATCCTTATAATATTACATTATATCTGTCAACAATTTATCTATCACTAAACATTTTTGTTTATTTTTATTTAGGTTTTTCGAGAGCAAGCCAAAAACAACTTTATCTGAAGAATCAAGTGAATCAAAAGTTGGTAGCGGCGAAGAAGGAAAAATCTCACCTGTTGTAGAATCTGTTGTCGATTCTAAAAGGTAAAACATAAGCAATTGTTCACTAATTTTTAACTTGGAAAAGTCCTAATTATCAAGGTAATTCCAAAATTTAATATATAAGATAGGGGACCTTTTTATCATTAGTGAACGTAGTTAATTTAGGCAGTGATGAGGAAATATTTAACATTAGTATTTTTATTTGTTCAAGTATAAATATAAATTTTGATTTTCATATTGTCGTAATCTATATAATTAAATATTAATTAAAACCAGAGATGGCACAAAAACTCATGGAAACCGCACACTTATTATCAGAGACTGTAGGTTCCCCACCTATTAAATAGATGATCAGAAAAAATCTTATTTAGTTTACAGTTTTCATCAATTTTTAATAATCATTATTGTATTTTTTTTTTTAGTAAAATTAAATTTATTAAAAATATCTTACAAAAAATTTCTATGACAATTAATTTTATTTCGGGATTCCTCGAAAATAGTGAATAATTTTTTTCTTTATTTTAAAAATATTTGTTTTTTCACAGAATCATGAAAGATTTATTTCTCGTATTGCTTCTTTATGTAATTACTAACATAACAAACTCTATTTTAGTCTTAATTCTTCCTAGCCTTCCTTTACAACTTGTTATTTATTTTATTATTTTAATTTTATAAAATGTTAATTTTTAATTTTATTTATTTTGCTGATAGAGCTTAGGGCTTTTACATTGTGACATGGCATTAAAAAATAAATATATGTCTGGGTTTTATACTCCATCTTTTAAGAACAATTTTGCAAAATACTTGTAGATTTATTAGTGAATATTTTTATTATTTTGTACTTACAAAATATCATGATTGTGACTATGACTACAATGACTTTGATATTCAAGACAAATTAGCTAATATTATTTTTTTAAGTAATAAATAAAAATGCTCTAGTTGATAATTAATAACAATAACAATGTTTATAAGAAGGGTAGATTAGTAACAATAAACCTTTAATCCATATTGAGCCGAAATAATAATCAGTTTACTTAACTCCTCTCAAGTAACATTTATCATAATATTGCAATTTACTTCTTTTTTTGTTTCAATATTCATAAAATTAATTACTCACAAATTAAATTAAACTCTTTGCATTAAAAATTCTAAAAAAACCTTTTAACTGTAGATGACATATGTAAAGTCTTAAAATGTTATACTGTTATTTATAATAGTCATGTCTGTTTCTCTGGAACTACAGAAATGTCTAAGCACCCTATTTCTATGTTTTTTGTTTGTTTGTGTTTCTTTATTCATATATTTTTGAAATGTCTGATCCTGGCTTTAAATAAATACAATCAAGAAGAAAAACTGAAAGATGTCATTATAACAAAAAATATTTAAATCAACATAGTATAAATAACTGTAGAGATAACTCTAATATATATATATATATATATATATATATATATATATATATATATATATATATATATATATATGTATATTATAAAACTTTATATTAAAAATATTTATAGATTGAATTTTGTCCCTATTTAGTGGTGAAAGTTCTGGAACTCAGAGTACTGAGAGCAATGAAAATTCAGGAGTGCCAAATGTTAACCCTTCAAAGAACAATCCATCCAAGAAATACAAACCAGCAACTCTAACAGAACAACTTTTGTCCAGGTAGGAAATTTAAATCAGGCACCAAGAAAATTACTAAGTAATATAAGGAATTAATTTGGGAGTAACATTATTAAATGGTCAATTATTTAGTATTACTTGCACATTGTATAAAATGCTTCTTATTTATAAAAAAAAAAAAACTTTGAATTTTTTTTAGACATAATGAAGATATGGAAAAACGTATGGTGCAAAAGCATCGAGAACAGCGGTCAAAATCAGACCGAGATATGAAGATAAAAGAAAGGCTGAAGATAACTTTGGATAAACCACAGGTTTGTTTGCTATTTATTAAACTGTAGTAGTTTCTGTTGGTTTCATCAATAATAGTAAAAATGATTTTCACTGTTTGAAACCTTTATCATCAAAATAAATAACAAAGTATTTTAGAAGATCCTTTTGAGGAAGATAATGGCATCACATTTTCTTAAAACAGGAAGAATCGACCAGCCATGGAATAAAGAGAAGTGGCTCTCACTCTTGGGAAGGGGAACCATGCAAAGCGATCAAGTCCGTGCTGAGCACTGAGCCTGTGTCATCTGCGATGGCAAATGCTGAAAAACAGGCCACCATCCTTCCAACCTTCCCTCCAAGCCAGTAAGTTATAAATTGCTTCATATTTTAAGAATATTTTTATTCAAAGTAAATGAGTTGCTTATTTCCTGAATGAACTTTAGCATTTTTCATAGAAATCAAGAGAAGTATTGATTGTTATGTAAAAACACCCAATTAATCCGATAGTACAATTTTTTTTTTTCAAAAATTAAACTAATAGAGTTTATAAAAAAAAAAATGACCATTTTTCAACCAAATATTTGTACTATTATTTATTTGATATAAAATACAATTAATACTCAAAGTATAGTCCATTGTTATCTACTACCATTAGCCATCTGCTAGCCAATTGCTCGATCCCAAGCTGATACCATTCTTAGGAATGGCTGTCAAAAAACTCTTGGGCCGCAATTTTAACTTCCACAAAATTATCAATTTTTTTCCCTTAAAGAAAATGGGCCATGGACCTAAATAAGTTGTAATCCGATGGTGCGAGGTCTGGACTATATGGTGGATGAGGCAAGAGTTCGAACCCATGAAGTTCTTTAAACTTTTCTTTGGTTTGACGGAAGGTATGAGGACGAGCATTATCTTGTTGGAATAAAATTCCTTTTCGATTGATCAAAGCAGGATAATGCTCTGACAACTCCACATACAATCTTACCAATTGTTCGCATTAGAGCTCTGAATTCATAGAGCATCCACCAGGAACAAATTCATGATGAATAACTAACCTTCAAAATTAAAAAAAGTAAAGCATGGATTTTTTTTTTTTTTCAATTGCCTCCTTGCAGCAACCGGAAAAGCATTTTGACCGCGATCTAGCCATTGCTCACGGGTATTTGGATTTTTCCAGTAAATCCACTTTTCATCACAGGTGACAATCTTCTAGTAAAATCTCATATCAGAAGGGTTTTTCAATAAATTTTCACAAATTTCTAACCTCTTATCTGATTGTTGAGGAGTAAGTTCGTGAGGGGCCAGTCTACTGCTCTTTTTCACCTTCCCCATGGAGAATGGATGGCGACTAACAGTATCTTTCAACACACCACACTTCCTGGTATGTTCGCAAATACTTGTGGATGGATTTGACTCAACAGCTTTCTGTAGAACCTCATCGATATCCATTAATGGTCGCCCTAAGCCTTTCTTCCTTTCCAGCATTGTATCTCCACTGCTAAATTTTTAAACCAATGCCACCCAGAGCACTGGTCAAGGGCACCTTCTCCTTCGTATTTAATAATTTCAGGGGTTGCTTCAGTTATGCCTTTTGTTTTTTCCAGTAATGCCTTAAAATTACAAGAATTTCGTAGGACACTGTCATGTTTCTTCTTTGAAACAAATAACTAAACTGAGGCTTTTTTTGAAGAAGTCAAATGCGATTAGACAATCTTAGAGAATGCTCTAAAGGGATTATTAAGTATTAAATGGAATTAAAATATTTACAGTCTTGAATTTGATAAAACGGTCATTTTTTTATACATCCTATTAAATATTTAAAAAATTATGTTAAAATAGCTTTATTTCCAGAACTAGCCCTTTTTTTTTTTCAAGGAATGTAATGATACTTAAATTTCAAAAGTATTTTTCAAAAAATAATTCATCAAAAAATTTTTTAACTTTTTATTCAGATGAAAATTAAAAATAAATTTATTTTATTGTACTCATATTGAAAACAAATAGTTAAATACGCAGTATAATTTTAATTATCTTTTTTCCCAAATCACACACCATATTTTCTCTCTGAACCGAACCCCTATGAAGTTGATAAGGGTATTTCAACCTTAAAAACGTAGTATCAACCTTTATTTAAGTTTGAACATTTTTAATTTTTATTAAAACAATCAATGATTTTCAGAAATATGTGTTCCAGGTAAAGAATTTCTTATTTTAATGTTGGGTTTAGTTTTGCAAATGGAATATAAAACATAGTTTTTACGTTTCCTGAAGATTTATCAGTGATGACTAGGATTCATATTGGAAATAAATGACTCAGATATTAATAATAATCTTATAAGTGTTTCATGTATTAATTAGTTACATGTGATTGTTTTCATATTTTGCAGAGAATTCACCCCTCCACCATTTACTAGTACACTTATGCCCATGTATTATGTACCCAACAGGAGGCCAGATCTTCTCTTTCCTCAACAAAGTAAGTTTTTATACTTAATTTAATTTTAAATGATATTATTTATAAGAACTTTGTTTATAAAGCAATTCTATACCTGCATGGATGAATGAATTTTAAATTTTTATTTGTTTACAAAAATTAATTTATAACAATAAACTAATTCAGAAAGAATAATTCAGAAAGCTCTAAATTGTTTTGTGCATATTTGCAATGATAATTAATATTAAAGAAAAATATTGGCGGTAGAGCTACATCATGAGAGGGAGGAAGACTACGCCACACCATGTTCTACAATCACCTAGTTCATTCTGTTGGATATTTTACACTTTTTAGTGAAGAGCTTTTATTGTGAAGCTCCTAAGTACCTAACTATAAAAATAATGGTTGATTTAGTGTGGCTGTTGATTGCTAATATTAAGTACTTTAATGTGCTCGTCTCAAATTTATTTACTGATCTGGGGCTCATGGGAAGGTGTGTTGACAGTTCCATATGTGGGAGGGATGGTTTATCAGCCTGTGATGTTCGGAACCCAGCCGCTCGTCTACACACCTCTGGCAGTCGTCCCATCTCCAGATCTCACTCATCCTTCTGGACCTGTAGCTCATGAAGAAACAATACCTCCAGTGCAGGTAAAATATGTTTTTAAAATAAATTTATTTTAAAAAAATAAAAATTGTTTTTCTTTGCAATTAGGTTTCTTTTTACAGTATGCTCTTGTTATTATCAACTCAGATACAATGAACTCATAGTTAAAGTGAATCAAAATCAAATTCTATCTATTTGATCAAATCCTAAGAAAATATATTGATTTTCCTATAGCACTTCATTTTAACGAACTAGTTCAGTTAGTATGAACTGCTTTTTGTGACATAACTTCTTTTATACTTTTCCCTGTTCTTGCTAGTTTAAAGAAATCATTAGTTCAGTTTCATATCATTCAAGTCTTAAAAAAGATTCATTTTGGATTTTTTAGATAGTTTCTTATTTCTAAAAAAAAACGAAGAAGAAACTCAAAATTCTTTGAAAATTAAATGTCAAATCTTACAAGATATGGAATCAGGGATATCGACAAAAGATAAAAAAAAAAAAAAGAATGACACAAAAAAGCACACAGTTCAAGAGTCAACATTATTGACCCTAATATGTGTAACCAGCAAAGTTTTTTATTAAAAAAATTACTTAATAATAAAGTAAAAAATAAGTAATATTAATAATTATTTTTATTCAGATATTAAGAACTTCATTATAATAAACTAATGAATTTCTGGTCCCATTGATTTCATTGTAAATAGGTTTTACAGTATTGTGTTTAAAACATATTTTTGAAAAATGAGAAATGGCTTTATCTTGTTACAATAAACATTAAAAAATTAAATATGTGTCTCAATATCTTTAGTTTATGTAATTTATGCAATGCAAATTATGTAATGATAATTTGCATCTGGTGAAGATGAACTATTGGACTATTGTAAATGATTTGATTCAATATAATTCTTCTCAGAGAAAAGTACAACTCTTTTCTATTAACTAATATTTTAATTTTATTGCAGCAAATGAGTACAGACATCAAACATGGCAAGAATAATTATCGCCCAAGCAAAAGTAATTCTGCAACAGCTCAAGATAATAAAACAGACAGCAATGATACCAGGTTAATTCTTTTTAATTTTATCCTAATTATTTATTTTGTTTGTTTGAATACTTTTAACAGCCCTTAGATATTTTGTATTTTAAGTTTAAGTTGAAAACATTTTTAATTATTAAAATTATTTAGCCTGAATAAAATTAACTTTTTACCATATATTTAATTTTATATTATTTCTATTATATTGCATTATATCTGAAGCCTTTCATTAATTAAAAGTCCAACTTAATATTCTCCTTAATTGAACATTATGCACTTAATTACCAGGTTTGTAAATATGAAACCAGAAATTTTGTATAGAAAATAAACGTTTATTTCATAAAAATGTTAAAAAATATTTTATTCTAAATATTGTCCATCACTGGCTATACTTTTTTTTGCATTTCTCTGGCAATTTATGAATGCCATACCAAAACAACTGTTGCTCTTTTATGGCGAACCAGTCATCAAACTATTTTTGTATGATTTCATAATAAGTGAAGTACTGCTGAGTAAGTGCGTTTGAATTGAACGTCTCAATCATTTTCTTCACTTATTTTACTGTGTGTGACGGTTCATTATCATGAAACAAAATAATTTTGTGTTGTCTTTTTGGGTATTCTGGTCGTTTTTCAAGTAATATTCAATTTAAATCAGTCATTATGCATTGATAGTGTTCAGTATTAACAGTTTTGCCAGATTTTAGCTGTCTACAAATTTTTCAGAGATCTTCAATTTCTTAATTTCTCACATTAAAATCTCCACTTTTTTAAAAAACCATTCAGAGCAGTGTGATTTACCAAAAGCTTGGTCCCTCTAAGCTTCGATAAGCATTCAATGCGATTCTGGAGCAGTTTTGTTTAAATTGTAACAAAAAACTAATGCTGACCGCAAATCGTAGTTTGTAGGCACATAACTTGACAACACTATTACTATGATCTTGCGCAATGAAACTTGTATTGTTGTAGTTGAAAATCTTTGCTAGCTGTCCAGAAACAAAATGTTGCCAATAATGAGGTTTAACAGTAACTAGATTAACAATTAGAGCCATCTTTAGACAAATTCCAGTTTTACATTACGGATTTTGTACATAAATTATTTTTACTATAGCAAAGTCACATGAGAAACCACAGAATAAGATTAGATCCAATAGAGCACTCATTAGTAGTCTTTTTTTTTGGCATTATTTGTTTAAATAATATAAAATAAAATATATGGTTAAAATTTGATTCATATTAAATATTTTTATCCTAAAAATATTATATTAACAATTTTTTCTCTTTATGTAGTGTTCCTTTTGATGATTTAAGTTCTTCATTCTATTCTTTGCTGAAGACAGATAAGTCAGATGAAAGTTTGCAGAGCTCCTCAGAAAATGAGACCAAACAGGAGGTAAGATTTCCTTCTATAATAATTTTGTTCAATATAAATTTCCATTTAAAATGTATTTATAACAATTTAAAAATAGGATTTATTGTATTTTTCATTTTATTAGAGGTGATATCTTCAATCCCTTGAGTATTTCCATTGTGTTAGGTAATAGTATTACTAGTAGACATTTTAGAGGAAGAAATTATCGCCTTATCATACCTTTTATCAGTATTATTATACTTAAAAATTATTAACACTTTTTATAATTTATAAGTATCATTATTCATAAAAAAATTGATATTATGATTAATTGCAGTTAAAACATAACCTACTTTTTACTTTCACTTACGTATATATGTAATATATAGTAAGTGTATTTTTTATTCTTTTCCATTTTCCTAAATAATCTCGGTTACCTCTTATCTAGGGTTTCCGTTTTCGGGACATACATTAAGCTCTTCCCTAATCTTCTCATTTCAAATATAGTCCTTCCATGTTTTCTCTTAAGGGACATCATTTCCCACATTCAATCCCATCTTTCTATGACTTGGACAGAACATATTGTCGGTTTATTACAAAAATTCACTGAGTACTTCTTTGATGGAGATAAACATTTATTTCAAGAATGTTTTTGTGAATTTGAACCTTATTTATCAATAAAAAAACACAGTAAGTGCATTAAAAAGAAATGACAGAAATCCATTTAAATATTCAAAAATTAAATATCTCAAAAGGAAAATCCATCAAAGTTTTCAGTGAATTAATGTTATGAATTGTCACTTGATGACTTTTTGCAATAAACTGATATGTAGTTCTTATTAGTTGTAGAATATTTTTTGGTGGTAGCACAGTGTTATTTTCTTTTTGTTGAGTGTTCAATCATTGACCAAGCTTATTCTACACTCAATAATGGGGCAAATTTATCCTGAGAAGGGGAACAAAGTGCCCCAAAAGATACAAATAAAAATAATAAAGAATAACACTATAAATTAAGAGATTTTTTTTATCTAAGTAGACAAGAAGTGGGAAGAAAACACATTTTTGTTTTATTATTCCCTTCTTAGGAGGAATATTAAATTTTCACAAGTATGAGTTATTTAATATGGCACTAACTATAATTTTGATTTATTTCATAATATTAAATACAAATGCCATTCATTATTCTGTATGTAATAAATACGGTGTAACATTAGCACATAGTATAAAACCATAAGCTTACAATATTGGAGCTCAGGGTGATACTTTTAGTTATTTGATCAAATCAAGTTGGCCATTGTTTTTAGCAGACCTGTTTATGGAGGTTGTATCTACTGTAGGGTGACAAAATCTTCTTTCTAGAGAATGATCTATTTCTGGAAAATGATTTTTACAGGAAACTGACTGGCGAGGAGGAATGAAAAGTAATGGGAAAATGGAGCCTATAAGAAAGGTAAACTAATATGACACAGATGAATACCATTTTGTGGAATGAATTGCATTTGCCTGATTCAGCTTGTAGTTCTGGGCGTGATTTAAACATATTTAAGAATTTTTAGAAAAAATAAATTTCTAATCATCAATCCGTTTTGGTTTAGTTATCATATTTCTTTTATATAACTTTATTTCATGTATGTTTTCACTATATAACCTAAATTTCTCTTTTTTTTGTCTATTTATTAATATTCAACTATACCGAGGGGCAAAAATATTGTTCACCTGTTAGTATTTTTACTTTCCTATTGTTATTTGGAAAGTAAATTATTATAATTGAGTCAAATTTTCAACTTTACGTTTCAGTCTTCTGAGTCCAAAACACATTTTTTGCCATTGTTCTGCGTGTCATTAAGTGATTATCTCTTGAATGGGTAACTAATTTTTATTTTATTTTTCAGTTTTTTTCCAATGCTTGAGTAACAAATTTGGGAACTCTATGTGTAATAGCCAAAAATTAAATTTGGAGTGTTTAATAGAAATCAGAAAAGAGTGGACATTTTTTTGTTTCTCAGTTTGGTTACTGTTGGCTAATTAAAATAATTATTCCAGTTTTTTAAATTGTAATAAAAATGTATTTAAAAATTAAATAGCTTATTAATTTAGATATTAATCAAGTGGTTTATTTTAATTTAATGATAGGCTAAAGTAAATTCTTATTATCTGGTGTGAAGAATTGGTGCCTTTCCACCCTACTACTGAAGTCAAATTGAATGAAATAACGAAATCATAATTAAAATCAATATAAAAAATTGATGAATTCTGATTTAAAAAGTTCAATAATATAAGTATTAGTCCAAAACTTTTATGATGTTGATATCTCTATTTTAAACAGTGAAAAAAATCTCTATATTTTTGTATCTCAAAAGTCATTGGATTTCACTATCTTTACATATCTGCCATAGAAGACCTTTTCTCTGTAATTACTTCTTCTTCCACCCATTTGCCTTAAACCAAACACTTTTGATTCCTTTCCATTTAGAGGCAAAACACCCTTTAGCCCCTGGTACATTGATTTTATAGCTTTTAAGACCTTTTAAGGAATGTTCTTTGTCCTAAAGGATTCCCAAATTTCTTTCCGAGGTACCGAATCGAATGTTGTCTTCATGTCCAGGAATGCCAAATAAAAGTTCTGATCATGGCCCCAGAACTTCTCTATCACATTTTTCAGAGTGAAGGTCTGATCTTGCATTTGCCTGTTATTTTGCCTAAAAGCACTTTGTTCTTTCTGGAGGATAGACTTTTCCATTGGTCTTAACCAACTCTCTAAAATAGAAGTATATAATTTGTACAGCATAGGAGGTAGGAAAATTGGTCTGTAGTTAGAGCTATGTGACTTCCTTTCTTGTGGATGGTGATCATAACATTGTATTTCCATCCCTGAGGAATTCTTTCATCATCCCAAACCCTTTTGAAGAACTTTTGTATGGCTCCTACTAGCTCTGGTCCTCCATATTTAAGAAATTCTGAGATTATATTGTCGCTGCCTGCTGCTTCCCTGACTTCATCTTCACAATAGCCTTTTCAATCTCATCCTCTTCAATTGGGTAATTTCCTTGATTCTCTGCCTTGGCTTCTCTATCAGGACGATCGCTTTCTTCCAGATTGCCCTCAAACTGTCTTGAATAATACCTGTGCCAAGTCTCCAGCACCTCTTTCTCCTCTGACACCACCTCTCCTTTTTCATTCTTATTTTTCTTATTTGTTTATGTTTCCTGATAGTCTTGATTTTTATCTGGAAAAGATTGTTATTTTCCTTTTGATCATTATTGAGAAATCAACCAAACTTCTCCCATGCTTTTCTTTTTGCTTCTTTCACTGCCACCTTCACTCTGTTTCTTATGTCTTGGTACATTTCATAGTAGCTTCAGCTTTTTTCCTCACAAAATATTTTCCAAACATTCTTCTTTTCCCTTATGATAAACCTAAGCTCCTCACTACTGCAGTATTAAGCTTTCATTTAGCTGATGCTTTCTTCACACAACATAAGTTGCTGATTTCAATATTGCTGCTAAATTCAATTCAAGTCCAACTAAGAGTCATCCAGGTCTTTATCAAAGTTTAGCTCTTGTAGCCAAATCTTTAATTTATCCTTTTAATACACTTGTTTTCGGGGATCTTGCAGCTGCTTTATTTTTATCCTTTCAAAGGTTCTGAGTTGAGGCTTATTTATTTATGGAATTCTGGTTTAGGCAATCAGGAGCATATGATCATTTCCAATTTCAGCCCCCCTCCTCCCCTCCGTATGACCTTAACATCTGTAAAATAGCTTCTTATTTACTTGTGAAAAAAAAAGTAGTCTATCATGCTATTTACATTTCTTTCTAGGATTTAGAAGGTTATCTTATGAACCTGTTTATGATGATAAAAAGAGTTTCATTAATCATAATTATAAAGGCTTGATAGGCATGAGGAATAGCAATACCCAGCGGTATCCCTTCCATGGCTTTTATTTACTAACATTATTTAAGCAGATCCCTCATCCAGACCCTTTTTAGTCGTTTTCTGGAGTTCTCAGGCATACTAGTTGTGGCCATTTCTTTTACCAGCTGGTTGGAGTGCCCGTTTAACATGTTATGAAATCGTTTGTAGTATGTTCGTATGTGTTCATTGACTGTCGGAATGTGTAGGTCGGTGTGTAAAGTGTGAATGTTTACGTACCATGGTGCTTGAGTGGTTAGTCGTAGTATCTTAGACTGAAAAGTTTGAAGTTTTTTTATGTGAGTTGGTTTTGCAATTCTGTATATTTGTAGTCCGTAAGTCCAAAGAGGTTTTAAAAGATACGTGTAAATACTTAGTTTCTGTCTTGCTTTTAATTTGGAATGTTGTCTTAACAGTGAATGTAACAATTTTAGTCTTAGATTTAATGTGATTCGTTTTTTCTTCACATGTGGAACCCATGTCATTCTCCTATCGAACGTAAGGCCTAGGTATTGTACACTGTCTGTTTGTGGAATTGGTATGTTGTCTAAGAAGTTGTTTATAAACTGCATAAAATCATGTCAATAAAAAAAAAAAAATTAAGTTAAAGGTATTTTGATTCTAGAAGAGAAACAATAAAAATTTGTTCAATGTGTAAGTTTTTTTTATATTATAAATATTTATTTGACCATTTATTTGTTTTCAATACCTAATTGAATTGAAATTTAAGTAAAGTTTGACTATATGATTTATTTGTGTGGACAGGTTGCACCATGGATAGAAGACATCAACTTTACTCCAGACTTGATATTAAAATACCAGGTGAAAGAGAGGCCGATTGAAGAAGTATTATATCAGGACCTTCAAGCTCTCCAGTCAATAACTCAGGTATTTTGAAAAAAAGGTTTCAGATTTTTTTTTTTTTTTTGACCAAATAAGAGTACAATTTCCTTGTATATTCATGTGGGTATTGACATAAAAGATATTGATTATTGATTATCCCAAAAATCACCTCCAAAATGCTGCTCGCCAAGTAGAAAAGAATGTCATTTCTCCACCAAATTGTGACAGGTAATGAAAATTAGATATATTTTGAGAGCGCTAAGTGTCAATGATCATGGGAACCTCCAGGCGAGCCATCAGGCCAAGTTCAAGTTGTCATGGAAAGAAGACAATGATCTGTGTTTGGTGGGATCAGAAGGGTGTGATCTATTATTATCTGCTAAAACCTTGTGAAACCATTAATACTGAACGATATCAATAACAAGTGATATATCTGATTCCAGTATTACATACAAAATTATGAGAATATAAAAAAGATAACAAAGTGATTTTGCTTCATGATAATGCACCATCACACACTGCAAAACCAGTGAAGGAAACGATCGAGATATTCAAATTATTAGCACTTGTAGCTCTATCCGACTACTGTTTATTTTCATCGATTGGGCATACACGCCCTTGCTCATCAACGCTTCACTTCTTATGAAGATGGCTTCATAACTGGTTCACCACAAAAGAGCAACAGTTTTTTCTGGTATGATATTCGTAAATTGTCAAAGAGATGAGGAAAATTTACAGCTAGTGATGGGTAATATTGGGTTGTTTCATATGAAATGTCAGTTTTCACAGGAAAGGTTATTTAGTAAAACAACTTTCTGGAAATCAAAACATTTTTATTAAAATTATTTACCTCGATTTTCTACACATTTATTAAATTCTCAATCCAAGAATTGAAAAATGAATTCAACATTTTGTCAAGAAATGAATTCAGAAAATGTGTTTTTGACCTGAGAATCATTTTCAAAAAATTTACTTTTAAGGAAGTTGCCCAAATTTATGAACAGATGGAATTCTGTTGGAGACAAGTCTGGTGAATAAGATGGGTTTGGAAGGACTTAACACAGCTCGTTTAGTTTCTTCACTGTCTGTCATGAAACATGAGGTCTGGCATTGTCATGTTAGTGTAGGTCCCTTCCGATTAACCAATTTAGGTTGTCTTTGATGTGCTCTGTCAATAACACTGCAGTGCAGTGTGGATGTAATAGTTTCACCTCTGGTTAAAAAAAAGAAATGAATTATTCCTGCTATTCACCACCACACAGAAACCAATAACGTTTTTGGATGCAAATTTTTTTCAAACCACTGGTCCGTTCGTTACAAAACCCTTCCCCGAACACCATAGTGTTTCTTGTTGCTTGGGTTGCCGAGTGTTCAAGTTTGAATTCATAAAAAAAAAAAATTACTCGAAAATCGCATGCTTCCATGGTCATATTTAATGGCGTACTAAACAATGTACAATCAATTGGAATGACAGTAAATATTATAAAAAAAAAAAAGGGAATTAATGAAGGCTCATTATAATCTGTAAATATAAACGTTGTAAACAACAAAAGTCTACTAATCCTACTTTGAATATCTGAAATATTAAATACGGACATTTCATATGAAATGACCTAATATTTTGAATAAAATATTTTTTTAACATTTTTATGCAATAAACGTTTACTTTCTATAGAAAGATTTTGGTTTCATATTTACAGACCTTGTATACCATAATTTTAAGCTATGCATGAATCAATTGACTCATTTCATTTGTATTAATTTTCAGCCCGAACTCGTCTCTGAACAGTTGTCGCAAATGTACTTGGACCTGGAGCTAGAGGGATTATCCAAGCAGCTGACCTTAGAGGAGGCATCGTCCTCCTCTGAATCCAGTGGTGATGAAGCAAAGGTAATTGAAGATTTGTTACCTATTCTTTTAATGGGAAGATAATTGAATAATGTATCTATATAGTGCTTATCATGATAAAATTATGAAGATTTTAGTTGTAGTATTATCAGAAAATCTTGTAAAATATAATCTAAGATTTGAGAGATTATTACTTTTAATTGAAAATCATTTTGTTAAATCTTAGGTGAGTTCTTGGCAGAAAAACAGTATGGAATATGACAGAATGGTTATTCTGTTTGAAGAGGATGCACCACTCCCTTCTCCTTTAGCTCAGTAAGATTTTATTTATTCTCATAGTTCCATTATTTATTGACACAAAAAAAAAATAACTACATCATCAAATAATGGATGTTTTACCACTTATTATTGGGTGTATTTTGCTTCTGTTTTTATCCTTGGTAGATGTTACATAATAAATTGTAATACATTACAATATTTTTTAATTATAATTTATTACAATATTTTTTTACTGTAATATTGTATTATTATTTGATTGTAATACAATAATTTTAATTGTAATAGTCCTAATTAGTAATTAATTGTATTTTTTTCTAATATTTTTTATTAAGAAAGCCACATACGTTAATATTTTTTCAAAAGCCATTGATTCAGTGCTATTTACATTTTTTTATAGTTATTTTTACAACTTTTGATATATAAAACCATTTTATTATTAAACTTGATGTTATAAACATTACTAAATTTAGTCAATTATTATTAAAGAAAAGTTACAATAGTTAAAGGTGGGTAAAACCACTATAATATTTCAAAATTAAAAAAAAAAAACAGTAAGTTACTAATTATATCTGTAAATTTACAATTTGACGAGTATTGTAGCCTACTTACCATTCACAGTTTTTATTTGCTGTTTTGTAAACATGTATTTTTATGTTTTTTGTTTTTTTTTTCTGTTGACAGGGGTTATTAAGTTCAAGGAGAATTCCATCGCTTCTGCCGCAGCAGATGTAATTACATTAAATTTTGTTAAATAACATTTGATGTAATTTCTTACTTATAAGTATTGTATTAGCTTCCTTGTACACTCCGATGTTTACCGAACATGACAGAGAGACAATCCTTTTTATGATGGCATCGAGATAACATATCGACAATCAAAAAATTTATAAGTGTTTTTCTGATAGCACAAAATTAAATATGGTATTAAAATATGTTCCGTGCTGATTATGATCACTCAATACAAAGAAGTTAATCAAAATGTACATTACCTTGTATAAATTAGATTTATGTTTTAGATTACATATACCTCAATTAGTTTTTTATTTTATATCTTGCTGTGATTATAATTGTCCTCATATAAACATGACATGTCTTTGGTTGAATGTTCAGGTGTATTGACTAAAATATTTTGAATTGCCGCAAGCACAAATTTTTTAGTTTTTGTATAATAAAACATGTAAATTGAGTTGAAACTTGTCATCAAAGCACAACTGTTTTGTAATACTTTTACAACAAAAAAAGAAATTGTTTGAATCAGATTACTTTAATTGATATCCTTCAGGTTTGTTGTACTGCACAAAATAATTTATTAAACTTTGAAAATAAGATACTCAAGTTTTCTTAAATTGAGGACAAACCTTTTATTAGATATAAATAAGAGTTTTTTAGCTTTAGGTAGCATTTTTTTTTTATTGTTATTTATTTACTTTTGTTAATGTTTTTGTAATGAACTTTATCCTACCTGAATGTTTTTAAGTTAGAAATTGCTTTCTTAGTTCCTATTTGAACAATCAGGTTATTTCTGAAGTGGGTTAATGTCGATTGTCTTGGATATTACATTATATATAACTTGATATTGATCTCCTTACTCCTGGTAATTATTATTTTAGTAAGTTATGAGTTTAGAATCTATTCGAACAGATTTCAATGTAAATATATCGCTTTAAGATATGGAATCCTTTGGCTTAGTATTCAGTCAAAACAGAACTACAAAAGCATAATTAATTGCTGGTTTTACAGTTGAAGTTATGTAAAAAAAAAAAAAAAAAAAAATAGTTTTAAAAGTTTATTATCACATCCTGAACATTATAGACAACCATCCTGTACATAGTATTTAAGTATGTTCTCCCATTTGTAAATTCCAATTGTGCCTAATTTAGATTCCATGTGCTATTTATATAACTTATGTACTTAACAAGAAAATATATGCTTCTTTAATGTGTAAAAGTGTATTATTATTTCTTTAAAAAAAATTTTCACAACTTGATCCTACCTAACTGATCTCTTTTTATTTTAACACATTAAAGGCGGGAGCCGTAGTACTATGATTTATCTCGACTGCTGCCTAAAGGTGGGAGTCGTTGTACTACGATTTATCTCGACTAGCATACTTTCGTTACAAAAGTTTCATCAAGATCCCTCGCCTTTAATATGTTAATTAATTCACCAACATTGGAAATACACTACATACCCATGCTGGAACTCTCATTTAATTTTGATAGGCTTCATTTTAATTACATTATTTTTCTGTACATATTTTCTTCATATCTATTTGTGCAGGGGGTGAGAATTTCAATTTAATTTTAACTTCATATTTTAGCATTTTGTATAGAAGATAAATGAGCTATATTAAATTTTTTAGCAGTAGATATTTTCCTTATTATATATTTTATTATTTTACATATTTATGTTTAAAAAGTCAGGAATATAAGCTAGCCATTTGTGAATGTCAAGGCAGTTATGTCTTTGATGATCTTGAAATAGGCTGCCATATTTGATAAGCAAAAGGGAACTAGCACCTAAATGATTTTAAATAAATATGTTTATCCTTACAAAGATATTTGATATATATATATATATATATATACACACACAAAATGTCTTCAATCAACATTTCAGTATTACATTTTAACATAATTATTTAATTGGGAAGAAGGTAAATTAATAATTAATCAATAAACTACTAAATGTTTATTTCTCATGCTGTTTATTGGACGTTTCGATCCCAGTTTTTTTTTTAAGTTAACAATGGGATCCTCTTCAAAGTTTTAAACTTTAGGCGAGGGACACACAGACAGCCTCAGCACCGCTCACCGGCATAGATATTAGGCTACTCTTTTTTGCGAACAATAATTTCTTCCTTAATTCTATATTATTACAAAATTTCTTCAATAGACTTTTCAGTATTTTATTTTAACATAATTATTTAATTGGGAATAAGGTCGCTTAATAATTATTCAATAAACTACTAAATTTGCATTGCTCCTGCTGTTTATTCAACGTTTCGATTCCGTTTTTTTTTTTTTTAAGTTAATAAGGGGATCCTCTTCAAAGATTTTAAATAGAGCCTCGATGCCTCAGACGAGGGACACACCAACAGCCTCAGCACAGATATTAAGCTATTATTGTGTAGATTAATATCTGTGTTGACGGACGGTGATGAGGCTGTCGATGTTTATCTGGCTTGAGGTATCGAGGCTCTATTTTAAAACTTTGAAGAGGATCGCATTGTTAACTTAAAAAAAAAACCAGGATCGAAACACTGAAATAAACAGCAGGAGCAATGAACATTTAGTAGTTTATTGAATAACTATTAAGTGACCTTATTCCAAATTAAATAATTATGTTAGTATATATATATATATATATATATATATATATATATATATATATATATATATATATATATATCAGCAGTCTATTTGACACATTATTTGTTAACTTACAAACTTTGTAGTGACTATGTTGAAATAACAGTTTACTTAAAATGCAAATGGATTGCCCCACTGGAAAATAACCATTCAGTTTAACATTCTGCAATGACTATCAGTAAAATTGTTCTAGCTCTGACCTATATTGGGTTGGTGCAGAAGACCAGGATTCTTGATTAGCAGTTCTCTCTTCAGGAGTGGAATATAGAAGTAAGACCTAGATAAGAACTTCATTATGGTGATTATATATATATATATATATATATATATAATCACCATAATGAAGTTATATATATATATATATATATATATATGTTTCTAAGGGATATCTCTGGACTATCCTCCGCTCTTTACCTTTTAATTCACCATAAATTACAATAACTAGCCATATTTTAATTTTAAAAACGTAAATTTTAGGATTTTAAAAATAGTTTAAAAGTTTTTGTCGAAATATCCTGAATCTTGATATCCCATATCAATTAGACAACTTACCTCCATTGGAGTACTGATACCACCTACGTATCTCAATCTTTTTTATTGAATTAAAAATAATTTTCGTAATAAGAATTTAAGGATTGAAATATTAAATACTTTTTTATCACACCTCATAATTCAAAATCCTTCTTTCTCATGTTTTATTGAACTGGAGGGCATTAAGAAGTAAGTTGAGACCCTCAAAAGAACCTTTTACACAGTTAAGGTTTTCAACTAGTTTCTTTTATGAACTTACTTTGGTTGAGAAATTTACCTGTGTAAAAGCATTATATTAAGTCATGAAAGCAAATTAACCCATGTTAGAAATTTTTAACAAAACAATAGCATCGTTCTTATTGTTCACAAAACATACTATTCTTCAAAACATGCTGAATATGCCATTTTTCTATTTTATTCTTGTCAGAGTTACTCTATTTTTTATATTCTCATTGTGGAAAAAATTTAGGGGTAGACCCATAACTAAGTTTTGAAATTTATTTAAGTAATAAGGGATAAGGCGTCTCTGAACATTACATTGCTTAGTTAAACTGTTTGTTACTCTTTGAGATTTACCTCTTTTAATATTTACCATTATTTATGGAGTTAATTTAATGGAAATGGTAAATCATTTTCAATTTTTTAACATTAATAAAAAACATTTGATGTAAAGATGAAAGGTAAGGATACTTTCCTGACACACCTAGTGGAAAATAAATGATAACCACAAACCCAAATTTGTTTGAGAGACTTAATTGTGTAAAAGGCTCTCTAAAATCTATGGTGATCTCTCCTGGTTGAAACCCAGCTACTAGACTACAATTTCTATGTCAAAGCTATGGTTGAGAAACTTGAGTGTAAATGGTCTTAACATCAACTAAATTTGCATACAAATTTTCTGTGCTCCAACTTAATTAGATGATTAGTAGGGGCTATAGAATTAGCCAGAAAACCAGAAAAAAAACTTTTCCAACATCAACTCGATTTTCAAGGAATCAGAAAATGTCCTACATTTCCTAGACAAGTGAAATATTTCAAGAGTCTCCTAGAGATATAAAACGGGTAAGGTAATAAAAGAGCCAGGGGAAGGAACAGATGGAGTAGGTGAATGTGAAAATTTGTCTGACTTTTCATACATTTTTTCTCGAGAAAATAAGATTGACTTTTTGAGGGTGAATAAATTTACAATTAATGTAATTATAGTCCAATTAAGGAATCTATCCTGAGCCTACATCAACTAATTATATAAATAATTAATAAATCTCTGGTGAATAATTTAATATCTGTTCATGATGGATCTTATCTTCTCATAGGATGCACTTATGAACATTTTCTTACCACATATTAAACAGATTAGGCAACTTTGCATTAAAATTATAATCAATTAATAAATACAAAGCACATTCCATCAGTCTATATATAAGTAATATATATATATATATATATATATATATACACCTTAAGATATAATAAAAAATATATAAATTTATAATACAAAATCTCTCTAGACTATAAACTAAATATGATGTCTATAAAAATTGTAGAACATGCTGAGTTTATAAACAAAAATAAAAAAAGTACAGCAATATCACTTTGAAAAAATCATTTAGGCAGTGTCTTAAAAGTGTGAAAATAATCATTTGTAGTTTTAGCTATTCCCACCTAAATCTCTTTTAAATTATTTCTGCTATAACCTCATTTATAGATAAAAGAATAGGTGTGAATAACTCCACATTGATGTACTGCATTACGGTGATTATTTATAGGTACAACCAGAAATCTCAATTCTTTTTAAAATAATAACAAATTCATAGATATATATTTTTTAAATATACATTACTACAATAAAAAATAACTGATGACATTTTTCATATACAATTTTACAGTTGAGCATTAAACGCCATATCTGAGACACAGAATGGAATACTTTATTCCGTATTTTGGTACATTCCTTTTTTTTTTTTTTTTTTTTTAATTAATGAGCAGGTACTTTCCAAAATTCTTGAATGGAATTTGAAGAGATCAAAGGAAAAATAATATAAATTAAAATTTATTAAATGCATTCTTAAAGATAACTAATAAATATTTCAATTATATATGATTGTAATTATTTATAATATAAAATATTATTTACAATTTGATATATAAAAAACTAAATTTCTAACATAAATGAAAACTATGTACTGTTATTAATTACATAGAAGAAAAGAGCTTATTGGCAGTGAACAATTATTAAATCTAAAGCAACTTTCTGATCTTAGAACTCAATGTAACAATTTAAATTTCCTTTTATTTTTTTATTGCACTGGTAATTCACATTTCAGGATATCGTACTACCGGAAATATCTACACTGTAAGCCTACTGACAACAATAATTTAATTAACAATGAAACATAATTTAAATCAAAACATCATTACCAGTTACATTAAGACAAAGCGGTAAATAAATATACAATTGCAATGTCAACCCTATATACAAAAAATAAGCAGGAATATTTTATTTTTCCTAAAAAATAATTAATAATACTTATTAATGTAAAAGTTAATTTTCAAAATAAACTTGTTTATGGTGATTTTAAGTATGTAAATGTAAATGAAACAAGGCTTTATTGTACTCTTCTCCCTCTCTCTCTGCCCCGAAATTTAAATACGTAAACATTACAAATTATCAATAGCTCTTATCAAATTAACATTCTTTACAAAATATGATTAATTGTAACATCATGAACAGAGAAATTGATTCACAGATGTCCTCATTAAAGAATTCAAAATGAGGTAGTCAATTATGAAATTATCATACAATTAACTTTATAAGGAGTCATAATAATATTCGATGAAAATAAATTAAAAATGGATTGGTAGAGAGAGGTTCCTACTGATATCACTGAGGAAAAATTATAAACCAATCCATTTTGCATCAAGAAATGTCATTTTTGGGGTACCATTCATATAATACGAGTGAACACTATAATAATTTATTATTAATAGAATTTTCAAGTCAAATTAAACTTCTTCCATTTCAAATTCAATCTCTATCCTGAAATAAATAGGAATATATTTTTGAAACTTTTTCTATACTTAAGCTCGTTTAAGAACTTAAATTTTTCCCTAGTACTGTTTTAGCAATCAAGGTCTACACCTTGAAACAATTTTGGATTAGTTGAAATATCTTATATCCTTTAATTCTACACTTTAATGAAAATAAAAAAATCTAATACAATTTGTAATGATTGTATTCGAAGGGATCAAGGATAAAATTAATGTATACAACAAACAAAAATTAGATTCAAAATATAACCAAAAAAAATTTAAACAGATTTCATTTAAGTATTGAAAGATTATTCATAAAAAATATGAATAACCAGTTTGTATCTTTGCTTAATTATCAGTGAGAACCATCATTATTATTAGGAGTGAAATAATAGTTCATGCTATGATGAAATTAATTTTTTTAATTTAAGATTCTAATTTTCTTATTACAAACATAAATTCTATTTAAAAGTGATCTCTTCTATCTGGTATATATTATTATTTGATTAAAATAACCGTAAACAATATATTATGTTAACATGATTTAATTATTGAAATTGAAAAAGGTTGAATTTAAAATAAAAGGAAATTAAATTTGACTTGGAAATTCTATAGACATTAATTAGAGGGGGAAAATAATTTAAAAATGAAAACATATAACAATCGTTCATCTTGAGATTGAATAAGCAAAACCTTAAGGCTTAAAAATTGAAGTTCTTGACACAATTAGCCTATGACAGATTACCTCTTCTCATGGTCTTATATTAATTAATTGAATAATATTGAAAAAAAAGTATATCAATTTGTGAAAAATCTAAGCTATCACAAATTGTTGTCCATAATGATTCAAGATGACATTTAATCTTACTCATTGATAATTTTCAATTAAGAGTGTTCTCAAATCCATTAATATGATATCCATTTATTTTATATAAATGAATAAAATAAGAATACAATGAACTACCACATTATTCTCAAATAAGGAGATTTGTGAAATTTTAAAATTTTAACGTAACTGCTTACCTTGAAAGAATAACAAGTAGATTAAGAATAAAACATTTCTTTTCTATCTTCACGAGTGCTTATTTTTAAAGAATTTATAAGACAGCATTTTATTGGAGAATTAACAGAACACAAAGAAAAGAATATTTTCCTTTTGAGAACTGATGTAAATATATGCAATGATGAGTCAAAAATTTGCGCATTACATGGAATGCATCAGAAACAATTTTTTTTTTTTTTAGGACGTTTAATTAAAAAAATAAAGAGGTTTAAATTTTCCATTTTGTTATTAATTATATTAAATTTAATTAGAGCTAAATCCAGAGCAAAAATTAATCCTTTAGCAAACATCATTACTAAAACCAGAAGATATTTATGATAATTAAAATGAGATAATCATTCCAGCATTTATGTTTACTTTAATTTTTAAGAAATGACTAAAACCATAAAGTACCTAATTGGAAATTTATTTTTGCTGTTATTGTTATTAATTTAAACCTTGTTCCAAAAACTTTAAAAAAACATTATATATAATTTAATGTAAAAAGTTGAAAAATAAACAGCTCAGAATAAATCTCTCTCTGATACAGAGTAATATGTACAAGGCTCAATGCTGGTAGTGTCTCCTACCTGCATTATGTTCTATACAAATGTATATAAATACTTTATAAATATCATTAAATTAAATTATTAAGAAATATTTTTCTTATAACACTGAGAGCCTGTTTTAGAACAAAAAAAAATTACAGACTTGGATTAAAATGCAAAAACTAGCTTCATAAAAGCTATTAGTCGATAACAATGTTAAAATTTAATATGAGAAGGAGTTGATCGGGGGGTGCGGTCAACTCCTTCTCATGTTATATCAACGGTCAACCATCTTTAGATCATGATGTTAAATTTAAATGCCTGATGATTGAATTCCTATTGCTTCAATGTTTTTATTGAAATGCTCTACAGTGCCTTGTTGTTTCAAGTATTTTTTTCTTATCAAGATTCCTTAAAAATTCATTTAATCTGAAATGGAAGTTAAAAAAACCAACAAAATTTCAACAAACAAGTGATAATTCTATGTGTTTGCTTATAAAGAAGAGAACTTAGAACTAAACTTGGGTAACTATTAAAGCACTGAAGAAGTATTTCATTAAATAATTAGTAACAAAATAGAGTGCCTGAACAACCATTTTCAAACCAATTGAGAAAATCGTAAATAAGTTTTCTGTTAAGTCCCTTCAGACTTCAGATTTAACAACTTAGTTGATAAATACACACCACATGAATTAATGACAAAATAAATAAAACATGTCCCTTTGAGAGTTTAAAATAAACAATCACGTTTATCTTAAGAGTGCTGAGAATCATGCTTTGTGCGCATTGCATCAATCCGTGCACAAATTTTGAGTGCAGGTCCCAACTTCATCGACATGGCCGACATGAGGTGGTCCTCTTTGAGCAGCAGTAGAGCTTGCCCATCAATCTCTTGAGAAGCAAAGTCCTCGACATACTCCCTGCAGCCTGGTAATGTTTTGATAAACTCGCAAACTTCTTCAACCTAGAAATAGTTAATCATTGTAAAGATCATAATTTCCAGGAAATATGAAGTAATAAATAAATTGAAAATATATTACAACATTAAATCACTTTAAAATAATAATTGGGTACTTGTGTCGATAAAAGATTGAGTAAATTTGAGCTTAGGTGGTGGCAACTGGTGGCGTGGCCCCAGTCCACTATGACGTGACTCATACGGCAGCCAAACATGCTATCTAAAATCTCTTAGCCCTACTTTATAAACATGTATTTATAAAATAGATTTTAAATTAAATATATCCATTCATATACGAAAGGGTGAGGATACTCAACAGTATAAGTTAGACACTGGCATGGCATAACATAGCTGAATCACCCACCACCTTTGTCACACAGCTCTGTCCCACCACTTTTATTTAACATTAATTATCTTTGCAAATACGCATCAGAAAAAATTTGGGACTTTCTGCGTTTTTATTGTTATCAGCTAATCTTCACTGACAAATAAAATTTAAAAATCGAAGCAAGTACCCAATCCAGCAATGAAGATGTTAAACTACGACATACCCCCCAGTTTGTAGGGTCTCCGGAGACATTCGACGAGCGAGCATCATTATTCTCTGGGGCTGAATTGGACGAATCGTTGGTATCTGTGTTAGTATCCTGATAAATAAATTAATGATAATTATTAGATAATAAAACAAAACAAAAAAATGACCATGAAACAAAACCTAATATAAACTGAAACCAGTTCTTACCCAGTCTTTCTTCTCATTTTCATCTTCCTTTAAGACATGTTTAACTTCTTCAGTTTTAGCCTTTTTGTTTGCCTGGTTAGCTCTGTAACATAAATTATGATATCAATTCAAACATAAAATGGAAGAATTTGTCCAACATTTACAATGACGAGAGAAAGGGATGACACATTAAAATATAATATTAAGAACAAAGTAAGTAATTATTAACATTTCTGAGACTTAACGCGGACTATAATCAGACTTTAGAAGAATAACTTATTAAACTTTACAAAACTTTGGTGACTGCGAATATTGTTACATACACATCTATAGGTTGAGAAATACCTACCTCTTCACACACTGAGCAGAACAATATTTCTTTCCTTTCCTGAATTTCTCCCTGAGATCAATTATTCCACACATTTCACACTTCGCCTTTTTACCATCATTTTCATCTTTTTCCTTTGATTTCTTAACTAAAATTGAAAAAAATCATTGAAATATCTGTTTTAAAAATTTTATTTATACTATAGAGTATATTATCTATTGTAAACTACACTAACTGTTTAAACTTAATTTTTTTATTAACGAATTCATGCTACCAAAAATAAGGGCAATAATGGATTTTAACATTCAAATATATTTTAGTAAGATTATTTGAAATTAAGATACCCAACAGTGTATAACAGAGTAACTTGATGTTTATCATATATTTTTATTTGTAACCTAAAAACTAAAAAAAAATATTGTTTTTTTAATTAAAACTTTTTTTCAAATATACCTTGAAAGAATTTCATCATTAAGGCAAATAATATAATTTAATGTCATTAGACTGCTAAAACCAGATTATGAAGTTTATTTAGCCATTTTATCAATATTCACGCTTATGGTAAAAGATTTTGTTTATTTTTTAAAATATTTTATTGTTATTCTGAATCATTTATTCATCTAACATACAAAGAAATGAGCATTGTCAGAATCTAGAACAATTTATTTTATGCGGCTGTTATTCTGAAAGTATAACCAAGGAAAGGTCGAGATTGATGAAGTGGATTCTCCACAAAGTAAATTACAACCAGCACAGGATCGAATCAAACTGGCCACACCAGGCTTGATGTTGTTAAGGTCATGATGCCTTAACACTCTTGGCCATCAGAAACTAGCAAACTTTATTTTATCTTATGCTCATGCTTAATTCTTTTTTCATACTTCAACATTACCAGGTCTATCTATTTCACTGAAATTAATTAAATACAAGAAACTTACGTGGTGGTTCTTCTGAAGAATCCATCGCAGGGCGAACGTGGGCCGTCAGGTCTGGTGCCACTACCTGGTTCCTATTGATAGGAAATGGCTCAGAAGCTGCTTGAACATAGAAGGTATTTCATATAAATCATGATGACAGATAAATTAATGAATAATAAATATTTAACACAACACAATATAAATACTTTTAACATAACCATTAAGAAAAAACAAAAACCATTACTCGCTTCAAACAAAAATAATACAGTTGTAACAGGCATTGTAATTTATATAAAAGATAATGATAATTTTACAAATTACAAAAGATCATAATTATTTGTACTTACTGATAAAACCGACCAATTTATTGATTGATATATCTGTTGATGGAATAGTCTCACCAAATATACATTAACAACAATACCATCTTGCATTACAACTTTGACTTCATTATTTTTCTTTTTGAACATTTTAAAAATCAAACCTAAGTTTTATTTCTATACATACTTCAAGTTTTTTTTGTCAGCCAAATAAAAAAATTGATAGAATTTAGCATATAATTTTATTTGGTTTCCGAAAAGGGCACTAATCTTACAATTTTTAATTTCTATTCTGTTTATAAAATCTTCAAAAGATTGTTATCCTTGTTACTCTGAGAGAATTTCGCATGTTTCATTGAACCAAATTTGTTGAAAACATTTTTGAACATCTTGGCTGGTAAAAAAGTTCTCTTAAATGAAACAAAATTTTCTTTCATCAATTTTTTTCTTAATTATCTATTTATCATTGTCAGTATTTTCATCAAATATCACTAATGGTAATATCCTTTTTAGATTTTGTGGATGTTAATTGAGTATGATCTTCATTATTACATGTTATCTTGAGATCAAATAAAGAGGCTGCCAGGATACCAGGTGATTTTTTTACAAACTATATCATAATCTTATAATGTTATTATTAGCATCTTTAACATTATAAAAGCCATCTTTAAGATATAATATTCCCTTCATGTCACTCCAACTTTATCTTTCATACAGTTTGCAAAACAACATTCTTCTGTCGGGAGACTAAATTTTCTATTACGACAAATGTATGTAACAGTTCAACACCAGACAGTTGAATAATAATCAAACCTTAAATCTCAATCATTATCGCTCAGATATCATGAGAATTGACCATGCCTGATTGCCAAGAACTAGTTCCAACTGTGTAAATAACCATAGCTGTCGCTGAATCTTGGAGCCATATTTAGTGAAAAAGATAACAGCCAAAATGTACCAGGGCTAAAATATAGACAACTTAATTAAAAATCAAGAGTGATAACAAATTTATCACAAATAACTGCTTTAATGGATATTTGAACATCAATTAAGATCCCAAGAAACAAAAGGGTATAAGTGACAAAATCCAAGTTTTGAGTTAACGAAGATCAAAATTAAAGCTCTCATGTAATTAAAACAAATTTTCTATGCTGATAAAATTTCTTTTTATAATAAGCCATTCAGATTTCTAAATGTACTCTGTGAGCTGAAACAGACTTTCATCATATTTGAAAATGTTTTAAATTACTTTTAGAATAATGATTTGCACTTAGACCCTTTTACAACCAACTAATATAATCATAATAGTGACAAACAAACATTAGCTTATTGGATTATTTTAATATCAAGAAGGAGTTTTTTAGGAAAATAGTATCAATTTTTATATTTCATCATCATTTATCGATTTATTGCAACTTTTTGGATTTTTCAGTATGAGGGTTCATTATTATATTATCAGAAGTGCATTTTATCATAATGTTAAACAAATGATTTTAAGATTACATGTTCACTGGTGATATGTACAGAGTGTCCCGTAAGTAAAGGGAAATATTAATAGGAATGAAAGTGCTCAAGAGCTACAAAAAAGTCTATATAAACATTTGTTGGATTTTTGCCAAAAAAGTAGGAAATTTAAGTTTTGTGGTTTTTCAATTTCATCAAAACAATCATCAGAATCAAACCAGTATTAGCAATGATACAGCGTCTTCTATTTTCTACACATGTTTTAATTTATTACTTTCTTACCTATACTAGGAAAGTATTGCAATCGGATAAAAATATTTTGTTCACTATTTCAGTCTTTTTATGACCACCATCCTGGACCATCTCCTTACTCAAAAAATCATTATCTTTAACATTCTTCTTTTTAGAAATATAAAGTATTTTTATGCATCTATATTTCTTATTTTCCATATCAGATCATCAAAAAAAAAAAAGAAATTAAAAGATTTTCAATAATTTATTGTAATAATGTTTGCTAAAAACATGGGTACTTTTAGGTGACAATATTGAATCACATAACTTTCTAACACAAGTTGAGGTGAATCTCATGTTTTTTCTTAATAAATTGCAACTTAATTAATATGAACATAAAGCTTATTAAACCCCATAAACTTACATTGGAAAATGAATAGCTGTAACTAGTTGTATGAAATGAACAATTTTTATAGAATTTTATAAATTTTTGTAGGAAATTTTATTACCTTTAAAAAAATAACAGGTTAAATGGTATTTTTCGGACTCAGGGGACTCTGAAACGTATAGATTCATCGAAAACCGCCTGTCGGAAATTTGATCCGATTGCCATACTTTCCTAGTATAGGTAAGACAATAATAAATTAAAACATGTGTAGAAAATAGAATACGCTGTATCATTGCTAATACTGGTTTGATTCCAATGATTTTTTGTTTGACCCGATTGCAATACTTTGCTTACCTAGTATAGGTTGGAAAGAGAAAAACATGAAATTGAAAAACCACAATACTTAAATTTCCTACTTTTTTGGCAAAAATTGGAAAAATGTTTATATAAACTTTTTTGTAGCTCTTGAGGTCCGCTATCACTCCTAAAAATATTTCCCTCTACTTATGGGACACACTACAGTATTTTGATTTGAAATTCTAAGCTTCAGTATTTTGAAAGTCTAAGCTTCCACTAACTCGATGGTGAACCTCAGTATCAATGAACTCCAATACTTTAAAATAAATCGAAATATGATAATATCAAAATTGGTAATATTTTTTTAAAACAGGCATAATTTTATAATTACAAAGGAAAAATGAAATTACAAATTATTCAATAATTTTTTTAACAAATAAAAAGTAACACATATCCATTTATTTTTTAATAAATAATCAATAAATTAATCATTAGTTAAAATAGAACACATTAATACCTATTTGTTAACAAAAAAAAAAAATTTTCCCCAACCGTGGCTTGAATCCCTTAACTTGCTAAAGCTACACCCACCCAAACCTATTCGAAAGGGAAATTAGCCAGGGAAGATGAAGATTCATTCCCTGGACCTGCCATAAAATAAATTTCAACCAGTCCAGAGCAGATTCAAGACAGGCCATTAGGATCAACAGCGTTAAAGTGGGCAATGCCTCAACATGCTCGGCCCTCCCAGCATATTAGAATAATTATCTTTTACAATAAAATATCAAACTTTAAATCTCATGTTAGGTTTAATAATTTATAGCTACACAATTATTAAACTGATGATTACTCCAACTGTAGTATACGAAATGGAACATTAAAAATTGTGAGTATGAAATCCTTTGCGGATTTTGCTGAGGCTGAAATTCCAATACTCCTAAGCTTCGTCACACTATTTCAAAATCCAATCATACCAACTGACCAGGAATTATTATTATTGCAAAAAAATACAAAACTTCTGAATTCTTCAGAGCATTGGATGCAAGTTTATTTTAACATTTAAATATGTTTATTTTGATAATAAAGATTTTCAATTTCTTTCATTACTAATTATTTACAAGATTATTTTGATAAGGCAATTAGTGTAAAGACATCGGAAATACATCACTGTTTGGGAAAAATTTCCAAAAAAAATACATTAACCCCAGTATATTAATACATACAAGAAAAACATTTATTTTCTTAATGTAAATAATATATTGAGTAAAAAAAGAACAACTAGAAACTTGATCAATAGGGAAATTAATACCAACAGAAAAACTAATACATTAAAGAAATTTTTAAAACAAATTAAAAGACAAGTACTACTATAATAATTATGCAATAATAATCAAAAAAACATTTCAAAATTATTAAATTTATTCCGAATATCTAACGTTATTACAAGGAAAAAATATGATATTGCATAATGGTTTAGTAAATCCAATACTTACATTCCTGGATAACATATCCTTCGATAACATGAGTTAAGACTTGGGGTTTCACCATTGCTTTTGGTGGTCCAGATTTCTCTTCTGCTGCGACAATCTGTTCCTCCTCTACTTCCACTTTATCTGCAACATTATCATTAGGTATAACATTAATATTGAAAGGAAAGGCTCCCTGAGGTTTTAATAAGAGGAGAGCAAATCGATCTATATATGATAGCAATCCAAAAAGTTCACACCGTCAACAAGAACTGGTTAGAAGGGAAATCGAGAGTAGACACGATTCAAATATCTTGACTTCACAATAGCTTCAATGAATGACCAACAGTCAGAAATAGACCAGTAAGTAACAATTACAGAGTTTTCTTTTAAAGGTATTTAAATCAACAAAAAAACTATAGAAATTTCAAACTAAGAATGTACAATGCCATTAAATATGAATAGAAAAAAAAATTAAAAATGAAGTAAAAGAAAACAAAACTAACGTTTAAATCAATGATAAGTGAATACTGCTTTTAATCTATAGAAAATGAATGAATACATAAAACTAATTGATTTCTTTAAATATTTGAAACCAAATATTCATTCTTTATATCAGAGGTGGCCAAGAATTAAAGACTAAGCATAATGAAGCTTCCTTAAAATGAAGCTTTTCAGAGATGACCGTTCTTGGAACCAGCCAAAATCTTTAAGTCTTTAAAAATCAATTAAATTTATATGAATATCTAATCCTTCATTAAAATCAATGTAAACAAGTATTTGTAAAAGTATTAACCTTTTACTGAATTTTATATTCTATGAAAAGAATATCATGTTCCATGTTCCATGAACAAAATTGATTAGAGATAAATAAAATAGAAAATTAATAAAGGAAGGAGAGGGTCCGGGGTCGAGGTCATAATAGTGGTAAAACTATTTAGCCTATTTATGACCGCCACCCCGGACCATCTCCTTCCTTTATAATGCAACGGTCAACGATTAAATATTCAAATCGAAAATTAATAAAGTACTCACCAGTATCCATGACAACTGGAATGGCTTCAGCTGCTTCTTGCAAAATGGCTGTTGCCTCCTAAACATCAAAAAGAAAGAATGATTCTTAATAAATCAAAAAAATTTAATCCACAACCGCTAACATTATGATAAATAATCTACTGTTTATTATATATTCTATTTCAGTTCAACGAAAACTCACAAGTTATTACTTTTAAAATAGCTTAAAACCAAAAATGAACGCTACCATACTTTTTCATTCATTGAGTTGGCCCAATCAGTAATAAAAAGAGAAAGGTCAGTTGAGACTAAGAATAAGATAAATGATTAAGGTTGGACATCTCATTTTTTCAACAGATCTGAATTATGTAATTATGATTGTAACACATTTTATTAGAATAATATTTGAAAGCATAACAATATAGTTAAATAGCTTTGATGAATTTGTAGAAAAAAAGGCAGTTAATCCGACTGAATCAATCCAATCTCTGTTTGAAAATGAACGTTCAATGGTTAATGGTTATGACCACACAATCCAAAGAGATTTATAACTAGAATCAGAATTTAAAACAGACATAGACTCACATCAAATGGGATACTCACGAGTACAGGCTTCTCTGAGGCGAGAGACTGCTGGTCGACTGTTGTGATAGTAGCTGCCTGTTCTTTTGGTGATTGAGCAGCTGCAGGCACGGTTATACCTGAACAACAAAAATTTTGTTGAAGTTTCAGCAGATCTCTGCTGGTAATTGTAAATTAAAATAATAAATTTTTAAATTAATAATTACTAGTATGTCCCAAGAAGAACTTTAACATTAAATAGAAACCCTTCTGCCTAATATATTCAAAATATAAGCATCAGCAGAACATTTTTATTGGGATACACAACTTAATATTATCAAGTTAGTCTAACGTACACAATAGATGAAGCTTCATACTTTATCACAACCGTTAAAGAGACAATTTACTTAATGAGTGATTAGCTTGTCCTCTACTGAAAAATATCCCTCCAGTTTAATAGTTGAGCAATAATTCACAGCTATCCGGAAACTTAAACTTATCGATTACTGTACTCACTCAAGAAATATTTTTTTGTTGCAGAAAAGCATTAGTAAGTTCTCTCCCTTTCTAAGAGTATAGAAGTTTATTAATGAGAATATAGAAGCCAAACCTAAATATTTTATTTATTTATTTAAAGTATGAAAAACTTTTTTTTTATATTATTCGAAGTGCCCAAGAGATCAGAGTTATTCTTCTCTATTTATTTTTTCAATAGATTTTTAGTATACCAAAGACTGTCTTAGCGATATTTTCATTTTTAAAATAGAAACGTGTGATAAGTATCCCTTGGCAACCATAGAACAAGAAGCTTTCAACTAGAATTATGGTTCATCTCGAAAATGATACATTTAATGGTTTAAAACTCTTTGTCTGATATAGTTCCTCAGAAGCTATAACCATCTCAGTTTTGGAACCTCCTAATTTATTCAATGATTTTTATTATAGTTTTAGTAAAGTGTAAGGTTTTAAAATTGGCGTTCGTCAATTCCACATGAAATTTCCTGTGGTTAGATACGTCATTCATCTACACCCATCACCCTCGAGAACCGGAAAAGGACTCTATACTACTTTATTGTATAAAGAGTAGATAATTAATAAACTGTTAAAAATAATGTAGCTATAAGATTGTAAAGTCCATATTGAAAGGAAACACAAGACTTACTCATGAGGGGAGGAGGTTTAGGCTGCAAGACCTGCTGCGATGACTGCACCTGATGGACCTTGTCCTGGGCTTGCGATGGCTGGACCATCTGCTGGGGCATTAACGTCCCCTGGCTGGTGATGATCATCCTGAAACAGTAATGTTATCGTCCAAATGTACATACAGCAACAATTTTGCAAAAAACATTACCACCATTTAGGCGGCCAACTTTCATTCTAATATTTTCAAACTAATGTAATTAAATTGAAAGAATAGTTAATCAGGAGGAGCAACCAACAAACACACACTATTGTGATACAATATTTACTTTTCGAGCTACGATATAGATCTCCATCAAGGCAGGTGTAATAATGGATGGAGACCCAAGGGCAATGACCAAAACATAGTCTTATAAAATAAATATTACGCCATAATAATGTGTGACTGTTGACCGCATCGACTGACCAACTATTCCTTCTATTAGAACTACAATGAATCATTTCTATATCATAATCTTTTTAAAAATAGATTTTTAATGACTGTTTTGAAAATAATCTAGGATAAATAATAAGTATTTATTACTTTCACTTACCTATAGATGTAATATATAGTAAGAGTAAGTATTGCGATCGTGGAAATTTTTGAATCTGAGTTTTCAACGGAAATATACGTTTTGAGGTTCCCTGAGTTCAAATAACCAAATCCCCGCAAAATAGTCGGTGTGTGTGTGTATATGTGAACAGTCTAGCTCAAAATCGGAAAGCCGTATAAAAGTTAAATTGCATATTTAAGGTTTATATGTACCTCAAATGTTACAGTAACTTTTTCTTCAAAATCGGCTAACCGAAAGCAATATATCAACGGTGAATAATGTCATTTTTACATTTTGCTCAAATATGGCTTTAACGATTTTGATTAAACTCGGTTTATCATTGCATGATTAAGTGGTCTTTAATCTCATTTAGGTCTTATCCCCATTGTTCCACTTTAAAGGGCTTAAATGCCTAATGTTCATATGCATCTTCCTCTAATGTACCTTTAATATAGGTTCATTTACAAAAATTAACTTTATTTTATTGACAGTAATTATAAAAAATGGCTAAATATGAAGTTTGAAAGAATATGATAATTGGAAACCGGAGAAAAAAAGAAAAATGTTTATCCAGGTTGAAAATGAATCTCCGGAAATAACAGCAGAAGGTATACGTATAATATATCGTTGGAAAGCGGAGAATTGGAGAAAAACTAATATTAAATAAATAATGTTGTAGAAGGTAAAACAGAGTGATGAAAAAATATAAATAATAATTTCAGAAAACTAACATTATTTAACGTATATCACATGTTTTCAATGAAATTTTCTTATTAAATGTAAACTTTTAAACTTTTATCTAAGTTTGAAAAAAAAGTATTTAAAATCCACCGAATCATGCCAATTTCATTGTTTAACATACTATTTAATTATACTTGGGAGAAAGAAGTGAAATATAAAAATATTTCATGGATATGTTTATAACTTTAAATATTTTTGCTGTAGTTTAATAACTCTAGATATGATATTATATTTAAATAATTAGATATCTATAGGTCGTTTATTCCAAAAAATCATCAAGTAACCTTTTAGGAAATTAAATTGGTGAATAATTTGATGAATTTTCCCTTTGTGAGATCCCAACATTATCTACTTACAATTAGTGTGAAAACTTTTGACCTATCCATAGCAGGCAATGAAAATCTCTTATTTCGTTATAGTTAACTTTACAATGGAAAATAACAGTTTAATAACTAATAGTCCTACGATCCATAATCACTAATAAGTTAAATATTCAGATGCACTAATAAATCTCTCTAGGCATACATGAGCCTTTCGGGGTTGTCAGAATGACTAACTCCAATTTAACATTCTTTATTATTAATTTTAGTGATGTTTCTAGTAGCAAAATTTATGCCTTTATCCACAGTTCTATATTTCAACATTGCAATCACCTACTCCGGAATCAACTTGCTCACTGTCTGTATAGATATAACTTTTCCAACTAGAAATATCAATAAAATGACATTACTCAAAAATGTTGAAATTATAGTTATTCATTCTGTCAACTGAAAGGCTCAGAGACTGAAGTTCTGTCGTTTATAAAACTAGATTTTTACTGCCAACTGTCGATACAATAAATAGACTTTTTGTAATTTTAATGGACTAAATGATTTGTTATCTGTAAGCTTTAAGCCTTAGCTCCGTTTAAAATGCACTTCAAAAATTTTATAATAGCCCAACAATTCCAGAAAATAATTTCTATTCAAAGTAGAGGGGTAAGTGAAAGTTGTGTGTTGCCCGCACCAGATTTCTTTTTATTCTTTTCATTTATTCTTAATCTTAGTTGTTTTAAGTATAATTCTTATTTCTTTATATACAGAGTGGAATAGCTAATTGAGTTAGGCATCTTCCAAGTAGTCTAAAAAGAAGATGGACACTGAACCTCCAAACATAGAACTTATATTGGAGAGATACCAATGGATAGTTTCTCTACAAGTATTTTCATGTCATCATAAAATACTTGTGATGTCATCATACCCCTTTAATTAATTATTTAATTAAAAGTACCCACTTTATGAGGCTGGGGTCTGGGGTACTTGAGGAAGGTCTTCCAATCCCAGGTCAGTCTACAGCTAGCTGATTAAATGGAATAAATAATTACCTACTATCAGCCAGATTTGAATCTGGGAATCAGAGCTTAAGAAGTCAGTGCATGTCGCTCCCTAAACAAATTTGTAAATTAAAAAGAAAAACAATACGTAAGATTCAACCTGATAGCAGTAGGAGAAGATATTATCTGTCATATCAGTGAGAAGGAGTATAACAAATCCACTTCTAGGATCCATTTCACAGCATAAAAATCTATTTCGGAAAAGAAAAAAACTAAATCTAGAACCATTACAAAAGATGAGGTACCTCGCATAATAATGTGGTGTTGATTTTACAAGTTCCAGATCAAGTAATACAATTTAATTTAATAATTTAAGATTAATAAAATAGAAATATTCTCACTTGGGATGTTGTGGTGAAATAGGTTTGGTCTGATTCTGGGCATCAAGTTTCTGTATAGGAACGCTAGCTTTGGTAAAAACTGCTTTTGCCCTCATTTTATTCTGAAAACGTAATCTCGTTAAAATAAAGGATTGAAATACAATGATAAGGATTGAAATACAAGTAAAAAAAAAAAAGGTAAGAAATTAAGTATTGATATTAAACTTTATATTTTCTTAGTAAACAGTAATAGAGATTACCTGCTGTTTTTGAACAATCTGTGCAGAGACAGGAGCGACACTGGCAGGCCTGATGGGCGCAGCGACTGAAGGTAGGATGGACAGTGTCCTTGAAACTTGCACTTGAGGTGATCCACCTTTCATGTCGTTGCTAGTCTTGGACATGGCAACATTCTCTAGAAGAATATCAACAAGTTATTAGAAATGATATTTAAGAAAAAAAAATTATATAGATATGGTACAGCTGCAAAATAAATGATACCTGGTATTCTGAAATATTTAAAATAAGAATTAAATATAAAATAAATGAAATAAGGGCTAAAAGTCCACTTACTAAGAATAACCGCCCACATCACTCTACAACTAGTACCAGATCAAGTTAGAAACGTACCGACATTCCATTTCTTATACAACATGACAAAAGTTAGTGGTTTTGAGGGTAACAACCTACAGAAACTAAGCGACCATATTTATCAATTAATTTATAATCCCTACTATCCTATTGTTACCATAGAGAATTGATTTAGTCTAACGACCCTGTTAAGATGCTTTTCTACATGTAGAGTTCATGCTTGACCAACTGTAAGATACAAAAGCTTCCTCCGCTTCCCCATAATAACAAAGAGAGTCAAGAATAACTTATAAAATTTTTCATTTCAAATTTCTTCATTTTTTCTAAACTAGATTGTGGATTAAACAAATATAAATGAATTGACCTCTAATTGTCATAAGATGATAAGACAAGGAAGAACAGCTTTTATTTTAAATTTTTTTGTCATTTATTTGAAAATCCAAGCTATTGATTGTTTTGAGGGTGATATAGAGAAGTCTTGGCTCGCTAAATTTAAAGGAAGAAGATGTTAATATTTAATGAGTTTTTGAGATCAACTATCGAGTATTCTCTATCACCTCCTTATGCTTTATAAATTCCATATTTTTGTCTTAGCACCGATCTGATTTAGCACTTTATGTCTGTATTTTTTCATTTAATTTTAAGTTTAGAAACTTTGAATCTCTCTTAGTATTTTTAAGCATTCTTACTTTCATTGCACAGATTTTTTATCTCCAATGTTCTCACAAGCACAATTTTTTTTTTTTCTTAAATAATTTTTACTTGTTTGTATCGCACATTTTAAAATTATCAAATACAAAAAGAAGTTAAATTCAATAATGGTTGGAGACGTAAAGGTATTAATAATTTAAAAAAAAATTTTATTGTTTATTTGGGGTTTAATAGGACGTAAAACAGTTGGGTTATCAATGCCCATTGGTTTATTTGAACTTGGTTGGGTTTTGTTGGTTATCAATTAATCCGAACCCGACAGAGCATTAAGTGAGAGACATTCCAAGACCCGAAGGGGCCAGCCAGAGCCCAGAAGGCGCCAAAGCCCCACATGTCAGATGGTCATTAGTAGATGTTTGGGACTCGAAGATTGATCAGAGGATGTAGATAAAAACCATATAAGCTTTCTGAAGGATATTAGTACATTGCACTAATGTTTACAATTATATAAATATGGAAAAGTCCAAATCCTCTCAGATCCTCGGAGCTAACATGCTCTGTAGGACTCGCAGCGCCTCCATAGCCCCAGCACCAGCCCTTAGGGATCCAAGACCACTCCCACAGAAAAAAATGTAATTGAAATTTGGCTATAAAAAGAAAACCATATTATTTGCATGAACCTCATTATAACCTAAATATTCTTTTGGTACTAGTATAAATTATTCTTCATAAAAATAAAAAAAATAATAATTTTAGCTTTTTAAGTTTGTTCTTTCAATAACTCATCATTCTCGTTAGTCTACCAATCATCCTCTTTTTCACAAAAATTTAATTCCATTTGTCAATGCATATATTTAGGTTAAGTCATGATCACTAAAAATCAATGGTTGCTATTTAGCAAAATCAAATCAAATGTACTTTAAAGTAATTTAATCAAATTGCAATAGCTCTGTAACAAACCATTTAAGACAACTTTTGTTTTAGTTAAACATTAAAGTAAATAGCAAGTAATTTAAGTTTGAATCCTAAGCACAAAAACTCAAACAGAAAATAGTCAATTTACTTTTAAGTTTACAAAAAATATATTATTCTAACTTGGTTTGGTGTTAGGAAGATCCAGAAAAACATTTAAAGAAAATTTTAAACAGGAAATATAGAAATGAAACAGATAGTGTAAAAAGAAATAGTAATCTCAGTAGGTTTAGTTGTAGTAAGATTCAGGGAAACATCAGAAGTTGGATCAACTGGAAATATAGAAGTGAACTAGTTAAGTGCTACTCCAGAAAAAAGAGGAAAAAAAAAAAAAAAAAAAAAAAGAAAAGACAATGTTAATTCTGATAGTTGGAGACTCACGGGACACTTGCTGCTGCTGCTGTTGCTGTTGAGGTGGCGGACTCTGTATGAACATCTGCTGTTCCTGGTGCGGGCCACGTATGAAGATGGGATTCTGGGCAGTAATAACCTATAATCAAAAATAGACAACTTTAACTAACAGCCATGAATTAAAATAAAATAAATTTATTAACTAATAAAGTATTAAAACATAAAGGATTAATTTCTTCAATTATTCATATATCTTTATGTATTATTTCTCAAATATGCTTATTGTCGCAATGCCATAACTTTGCCAATTCTTCATCAAATCTAACAGTTGAGCCCTCATTTTGAAGATCCTCTTCAGGTAGGAAAAATAGTCACCTCCCTCCGAAATTTCAGGGAAAAAGTAATGAAGGAAAGGCAACTTTATTTGCGAATAACTCGATAACAAAATAACGAATAACAAAAGAAACAATAGTTGAAATTTGTATTTTGCATGTAGGAAAACCCTCAAATACGAATTTTCAAAGCAATAGAAAGATAAAATTTGTATTCTACAAATTGGAGCCAATACGCTTCCCTTCTTCCTTCCCTCCAGGATTTTTTTTTCAAAAATTACGAAAAGTGTGATAACTTTAACATGCTTCAACTTATCCATATGAAAATTAGCAGAGATTTAGGGCCATATAAACTAAACGAAATGATATATAAATCTGACTCTTATGAACATTTTAAAACTGGAGACATAAATTAAAAACCTGTTGAGTTTTTATTTATTTATTCCTTATGAACGTGTTAAATCAAAAAGTTATTAATACGGTTTTGAAGAGCAATAATTCAGCTTTCCAACAGTTATAGAAACATTGAATTAGGAGAAAATCATGAAGAGTTGTGGATGTGTTTAGTTAAAACATCTATTGTACCCATGATTAATTGAAAGATTACTACGTTCCCTACATGAGAAAAAAGAATCGTAAAAATCTGACCATTATTACCAAAGATACAGTCAATTAGATTTGATATACATAAATCTTTCTTCCTCTTCGATGATACTGCCTTTACTATTTTACTATCATTTTTTCCTGGCTGATATATACTGCATTATTTTTCAAAGGAATTTTTTTGATGGTACATTTTATATTTCTTAATAATATAGAAAATCCTGTTATTGAGACCTTATTTTGAATATGTTTGGTAATATTCAGCATTTAAAAATAGGCACTTGTAATTGTTACGGAGGAATCTTGCTGCGGACCGTGAGGAGTGGAGGAAAGTGGTGGCAGAGGTCATGGTTCTACAAGGACCATTGAAGAAGAAGAATTGTTACAATTATTGTAAAAGTAATTAATACAAATATTTTGGTCTATTATGTTAAATGATGAAATATTGTATTTTACCGAGGAAAACACAAATAATTCCTTCCTCACATTAAACATAAGATTTACTTATTTGCATATTATTTTGCTGTTTCTTCACTAAACAATATATTCTGGGAATTATTCCCACAGTCCAAGTAGTCTGGTATAATTACTCAGAATATTAACTCAGGTTCAATCTTACTTGTTATGTGCAACTACATACTTTATTACATTGAATATATTTTTTATTTATTTTTTTTTTTGAAGAAACAAAATAATGATAAAATATTGAAAATTTTGAACACTGGTAATGGAGAATTGTTTCAAATGTTATTTTCAAGTTAAAGTCACTCCAAAAATACAAATATACAAAATCTCAAACAATGAAAAATACATAAATATTTTTAATTTATTTCACTAAGTAATAAAGCCCTGCTTGAAGTAAAACTTTAACTTTTATTTTGAATCAGTTTCGGACTATGACTGGAATCTTTATTTTCAATTTTATGTTTTATTTTGGAACTAACACTTTTTCCCCAGAAACTAATGAAAAGATTTTACAGTACTTATATTTTTAAAAACAGTATACAAAAGTATAGTTAAAAAAATTCATTTTGCCTAAAAGTCAATCTAAAATATGACAACAGAGTAGTACATTCTCAGTAACTCAAATAAACGACACATAGGAATCAAATTTAAGCCCAATTACGGCTAATTTCTCACTTAGAGAATCTTTTTATCAAAATTTTAAATAAATAAATGTTCAACTTTCATAATTAACCAATAACTGATAACAAAAATGTTCCTTAAAACTTTTTTCTTGTTAAAAACTTAAACAGTTAAAATGGAACTTTTTCTAAAAAGTTTCATCAAAGTTTCAAACCCTCACACTTACTTAAGTATAAATTTAGTTTTTGTTAAAAAAATATAGATTTAATTTAAATGCTATTGTGAAGATAGTACTTCACAATAACATTTACCAGTATTTCAAAAATACTTTAGCTAAATTGTTTAAGTCAAATATTAGACTTCAAATTTGGGACATAATCCACTTGAACCATTAAATTGTAATAAAAACAAAAAACACGTGTCTTGAATTTGATGCAATATTGCAAAGTTCCTTTATTCATTACGATAGCCATTTTATTATAAGCTATAAGTCCCACATCTCCAGGCTTGTATAACAGAATACTTTTCATCACTTCTACGCAGCAATTTAGCATTTCTATTTAAGGCATCATTCCAAGATGCCCATAGTCTCCAGTCACAGAAAAATTACCTACTGCCTTATAGAAAGGCCATAAGACAGTTTGAAAGTAGGTAAGTTGTCATTTAACAAGAAAGAGCCCAATAGGCCCTCAACTCATATGTGAGACCAGGGTATTTAGTTTCCTACTTAGTTCTTACTGAGTTTCCTAAGTAACAAGGATTTATGAGTCCCATCTCAACTCATAAATGAGTCCTTTATCTAAGCACCACTAAAGACATTCAAAATCTATCCAAATTAATTATTATATCTAATTTGATCTACCAGCACTAAAATCGTCAAAGATATTGGACTTATCATTAAAGAATCGTTTAATAGGAAATATTATTTTAATTACCTGCGGGTGATGCGGAGTAGTCGCCCAGACCTGAGGAAGTTGGGCCGGATTGAATTGCCATGGCAACTGGACTCCATTGCTGGTCGCAGTCACACCACGGTTTTGGCATGCTGTTACGTACTGTATCAAAAGGATAAAGTTATTGATAATAATATATAAATAAATAATTGAAACTTTACTTAATTTAGGAAACATAAATACAGATCAACACTTTTCTAAAAAAAAAATAAATTAATCGAAATTTACTAAGAGATTGATATTGTCGACTATTAATTTAAAATAATAAGGATGAAAAATAGTCAGGATTTGCTGTCTTCATATGATTCATAAGGCTTGCCAACATTTCAACCCAGAAATATAAGGTATATTATATATATATACAATTATACAAATAAGCCAAGAAAAAAAGATGGCTTATTATTATCAAATAATAATAATAGAAAAAGTAACAGTAACAATATATCATCATAATTTTTTTAATTATAAAAAATAATTGGAATATAACAGACAATGTTACATAGCAAGATAAAGTAACAAAAAGAATATGAATAAAGATATTAACAGAATATGTGCTTGGGAAAGCCTCAATAGGCTCACTCTTAACGCTGAGAAGACGAAAACTATCTTTCGAATTGGATCCCTCTCACTCTTCAAATCCTTCCCGGTACCACAAAATCTTCTCCTATCTCACAACTTACGTATCTCATTCCATACTTCCGTCAAAACCTAGGTGTTACTATTGATCAATTATTATCTCGGTCAATTATCAAGTTGTTCTATTTCTCCTGTTATTCGACACACATAATCAATTTCCTCTTTTAACATCTACTCCTTTTCTAATCCGACTGATTACGAAATGTACCTTAGAGAATTATTTAAGTACCCCAGGGACTATTTCTGTTTACCTATGTTATTTTAGTTTCCTAAGTTTATTTTGTATGTATAAATATATATATCAACTATTATTGTATAACTGTTATAATTTGTTCTTAAGGGACAACAGTCCCGTAATAATAAAATATATTTTAATTTTATTTCATTCATATTATTTTTAGTAACTAAATCCCACTAAATAACATGGCCTATAGTGTTCCAATCATTTTTTATAATGAAAAAGATTCATCTCATTTATTCTTCATTTATGAGTACTTTTTAGCGCGGAAGACCGCAGTCCTCAAAATTTACAAACAGATCTTGGATCTGCATCCTTTGGGATACCAGACCTTCCCAGCAGTTTGATCAGTATATTCTATAAATGCTATTTGGTTCTACATCAAACTGTCTTTAATTTCGCTATGCTTCTTTAACCTTCTCTCCTTTTCTCTCTCCATACAAGATCTGGATGTTCATCCCTCCGTTAGTATTTCGTCTTCCCGCAGTCCTTTTGATTGATCCCTCCATTTGTGGTTTTCGTACTGCAGTGTCTTAAGGTTCATCCCATAACCCACAGACTAAGACTGATTTGGGTGCTCATCCACTCGACACTTAAGGTCATTCTGTCTAACCCTCTTCCTACATCCACCAAGTCATTATATCTAAATTTAAACACTTATACCTACCATGACGGAACTAATCATTTAGTTAATTTATTTGTACTATTTATTTTTTTTTTCTTGATGTGCTTTTAAGTTTTAGTTGGTATTATCATATATGTCATTTTAATCTTTTAATATTGGCCTATTTATACATTTCTGTATATATCTTGTACTTATGATGTAATTTTTTAATTTTTACTCAAATGATCCACTGACTGAATGAACCATGTAAAGACTGCAAAGACTGACTACTTTTCATTCTCAAAATCTACCTTGCCTTATATTTTAGTTACTTTACAAACTTATTTCCCTTTAACTGAGGTAAAATTCAATACAAATTATTTTATGATAAAAAATAATCATCATCAGTTTATTGCAAAACGTCATTAATTTTTAACACAAAGTACCCACAATGTTGAGTCAAACCCTAGATAAGTCTATTAACCTTAAATTACTTGGAAGTTTGATGAATTTTCGCTTTATGAAATCAGAACATTGAGAACTTATTGTGATATTTAAAAGGGTTTGTGTCATTTTGGAGCACTTAACTGTCTTCTTAACAATTCAGTTTCATCAAAAATTTATTTAGTGACATTTTTGCTATAAACTGACATTATATCATAATCAAATAGTAACAGAAATACCTTTTGTAAATCTTGTTGCTTTTGCTGTGAATGAGGTAAAATGGATGGTTGTGAGCTGATAACGCCCAGCTGGCCTATAACAAGAGTTTGGTTTGTTGTGGTTGGGATGGTCGCATAGCTGGGAAACGATGCTATAGGAAAAAATTTCAATAGTTATCATTGAATGAGACAAAACATTAGAAGTTTAAAATATGTAAGAGAACTCACCTTGTTGCGTTCCAAGAACTTGTTTACCAAGGACATGGGAAGTAATTTGGTTTGATTGAAATGGTTTACCAGCAGTGATAACCTGAAAATAAATTTAATTTATGAAGTATATGCAAATCAAGAAATGGAATTTACAAAAAAATTTATTAAGATCTCTACATTTGTAAACCTAACAGTCATTGGCAGATTAAGAAATAATAAGCTCTACCAAACATAAATTTATTTACAGTGTACTATATTCTTGAAATCTTCATGTAAAAATTAGTTTGTCTTAAACAAAAATGCAATTAAATTTAAAAAAATAAAAACATGACAGAACATAAAATTCTAAACTTTCCTAATTTTTATTCTAATTATCAATCAGAATTTTAACAAAATATAAAAACCATTGTTACAATATTTAATATAATTTTTAAGACCACATTACCTTGTTCAAGCTTTCAGTGATAAAAAAAAAAAAAAAAAAAAAAAAATACAGACACTTGTTTTCCCTCCTATCTATTTTATTTCTTTATTATTATTTTTTTAAAGCTCAGTAGCAATTTTGTATCATTGCTTATTAGTATAGTCTTGTATAAATATTTTGTAAATAGTTTCATTGTTTGATTTTCCATATATTACTAGTATACTTAAGGAGTATTATGTCTGTATTAATTAATGTAATAGTTCTGGTCAGAAGTAAACCTTTTTTTCTGTATCATTATATTATTCTTAAGGGAATTTGTTCCAGAATAAAGTTATTTTTCAATTTCTATTTTTATTTTTATAAATGACCTATTTTTATTTTGATCATCATATCTTGTGACTACTTGTAACAAGTTATTATATTACTGTCATCAATCTTCTTTTATTAAGACAATAGACATTCGACCCATTGTAATAAATAATTATAAAAGTTGATATAAAGTAGAAATTACAGTGTAAAGAATAAAAATATAGTTGAATTTCCACTTTCTTGCTTTTAGTAACTTCATTCTTTTAAACGATTACATCTTCATGCTTAAAAACTAACAGTAAAAATATAATCACATTTTTAGCCATAACATTTTTTGTAGGGGATTCAATTTTTGTTCATTTTAATGAAGTGTTCTTAGTAATGCAAGTTTACTGTATTTTATGAACTTTATATGACCAATAATGATTATGAATCGTAATAGTAGCTTCTGAAATTTCCTAATTTTCAGAGTTGTTTTTTTATAACTTTCCTGATTATCCCTTAATCTTTCCAGGTTTAGGAAATTTCCTGATTTTTTACAGATAGACACCCTGTTAAAAAAAATTAAGCTACTTCGTTGCATTTTAAAATTTATTTGTGACTGATTTAATCATACCTGTATGGAAGGATTCATGTTGGGGGGTCCGGGATGTAGGGCAATGTTCCCTGACATGAGCATTTGTCCCTGGGCGTTGTAGACCTGCTGGACGTACGCAGTGTTCTGTACCGGCTGCTGGAGCACCTGCACCTGTATGTGATGATAAATTAATATACAATAATATATAAAGGAAAATGGCAAACTGCAACTCACTGCCACTATCTTACCCGCTGTGTGTTCCAATCACTGACTTGCTGGATCTGAGGTTGAGGGGTATTAGCTTGAACTGGTTGCTGAGACATAGTACCTGTAAAAATGTATGCATAAAGTATCGTCTAAGGAATTAAGACAGAAACTTAAAGTAAACTATGTTTCAATACGATAATATTAATATTACTAATTCCTGAACACTTACATCCATTCCATACCCAACCTACAACACACTAAAAACAGAAGTCACTAATCAATATGACTTCTGAATTCCTATTTAAGATATTCTTCTTACCTAGGACTCCATCTGGACAAACGTCTAACTTGGAATCCTCATACCAGACTGAAACGACAAGAAACAGCTCGACGTTCCCGACTACTTCAACACTTACTAGACAAACGCTCTAACCTTCCAGTCAATTATAAAAGACTCATTTACATGACTATAATAAGGCCTATTTGGACTTACGGAGTTGAGCTATGGGGCTCCACCAAACCTTCAAATTCCTCTCGCATCCAATCCTTACAATCCAAAATCCTTAGTAAAATCCTCAATGCTCCTTACTTTGTTACAAATAAAATTATCCATAATGACCTTAATGTTCCTTATGTATCAGATTTGGCCCAATCCAGATATCTGTCCTTCCATAATAAACTTCATAACCATCCGAACCCTCTTGTTTCTAATCTTGCTTCCTATTCAATTCCTGATAACCCTCCGAGGCGTCTGAAAAGAAGATGGCCACGTGATCTTCTAATATAGACATATTATTAGAGTGCTACCAATGGGTAGTTTCTCAACATGTGTTTCATATCATTATATTCATGTGCGAATTTACGAGATGTATTTTTTGTATACAGTTGTAAATATCATATAAATAAATAAATAAAAAAAAAGATATTCTTCTTTTTCTTATATTGGCACAACAAGCACATGAAGCTGCTCTTGGTCTGCTCAAGAGCCGCCAACTATCTCTCTTTATCTTCTGTAATGATAACAGGAATCCTCAGTTGTCGCAGATTCTGCTCCACAGCATCTATCCATCGGCCCTTCGGCCTACCACGTCAGAGCACACCATACAGAACATTATTGTACAATTTACGAGCCATTCTTTCCTAGCTCATCCTCATTACATGACCAAGCCACTTCAGCCTCTGTATCTTGATATACAAGGAGATGCTACATTCCTAGTAGAGCCTATACAGCTCACTATTTTTCCTTCATCGTCAATTACCAATCTCGCATACAGGCCCTAAGATTTTCCTCAGAATTATCCTTTCAAACCTGTCTATCAGGTTAATGTTAATGTAAAATATTAGATAGAAAAAAGAAAGAAAAAAACCTGTACCACTAACAACCTATGAAGGATCTTGGGTTCAGTACAGTGTCAAAGGTCAACAGTTGTACAGCGGCCAAAATCACGCTCAACCACTAGGTTTTCCCCCTTAATAAATTATTTAACTTTATAGAGACTGAGTGTACCCCAGGCGGGTCTCCCACTGATGAAAAATTCAAGATCCACGGCTGATGAAAAATTACTACTCATCAGCAGGACTCGAATCTGGGACCTTTAGCTCTGGAAGTCAGTGCTCACCCACTAAGCTATCCCGCCCTTATAAGATATTAAAATGTTTCATTAAAATAAACCTGCTTATTACCTTCCATTAAGATGTAATTTCCTTAAACCTGCATTTTTGTTTTCGACTACATTCTTTTGATACGTGCAGTTTATATTATATTATATTCAATTGTGATTTTAGTTCAGTTTATACGAATAAACAATACGCACCAATTTCCATTATTGAAATTCCTGACATTTTCAAGACTTTTTTTTTTCACAAAAATTCTTGGAACATCTGGCACACATGAAAAAATAATTAAATAAAAAATGAAATTTTAAATATCCATATATACTTAATGAAGTTGAAATAAAAAACACTGACACAATTTGAAAATGGTTTATTAGTTCCAAAGAGATAATGTTTTTATTTTCCAAAACACTTGATATCCGTGAAACATAGTATCATCTGATAATGATCTCCCAGAGGCATTCTGTGACTTTGGCACTGCAAGCAGTTATTAGCCAAAGCAACAAAAATAACCCAAATTTGCAAAAGTGTCATCAATGTTATCATTTTATAATATTTTTACGCAAACATTACTCATTTCAGAGATAAAGAAACCACTAAGAGATCCAATGGAGATTGAAAAGATAACAATCTATTTCATTTTACTTATTTAAAACCTAATTAAGTAACATTTTTTGAAGGGAAGTATCAAAAATCTCATTCTGACAATAATTTATAATATAAAGACGTGGAGCAACTTAGAAGGCAATTTAATTTTTGGGCTATTGCTGGTAAGAAACTGATATGGATTGTTAATCCTAATAGATAAGTAACAGATACACATATAGGTAAATAACTTAGCGGAGACCCTGGTAGAGCTCATGCAACCTTTTGTTCTTGAAGCAGCAATTAATTTACAAATCAGTACATGCAATTGAAAGAATCTAAAACAAATCAAATGATAGAATGTTAAAAAAAAATTCAAGATGGTAAATTTCACATGGTTTGAATGCAATCTCCCAGCCTAAACTTCATCCACAAGGGTTTTCCCCCTTAAGTAGTTGCCTAAAATGAATTTCATCAACTACACCTGCTTCACTTTTTAAGCAGACTCTATGTTTACTTGGCAGTCAATTACTATAAAAAAGTTCAAATTAATTAATAAAAGAAAAGAAAAAAAAAAAAAAATATATATATATATATATATATATATATATATATATATATATATATATCATTCTTCTTGGTACAAAATAGGTTTGTTTATATAGAATCTATGAATTAGTTGTACTGTAAAAGACTATATATAATTACCTTGTGCTTGCATAGTTGATATTGTATTAGCAGCAGAGCAAAGCGGGCTTTGAGGGGTAGACATTCCAACAGTCTAAAAAAAAAAATTATAACTAATCAGAAATGATTAAGATAAAAGAAAAGCAAATAATGAAGATATCGTAAAATATAAGATAAACTTTAAGAATTTGATCATCTCTAAACACTAGATAATTTGCAGACAAGAGGACTACAATAGGTTTGTATTTAAATTAGGTGATGTTAGATAAACTAATTAAAAATAACTTGAATTGGTCATAATGTTTAGAAAAAAATTTCAACATATAATGGACAATAATTAACAGATTATAATTTGATTTATAATACATGCGAATACAAACTATTTAAAAGGTCAATCGCACATGATTTTTTAAAGGAGCCATATTTACAAAAAAGAAAAAGTTTCAAAATTGAATTTAAAATGAAAATTTCAACAAGATCCTGCAAGTTAAAGCAATAAAATTCTTGAGTCTAATGACACCGGTTCGAATCCAACCTGGGTGGGTTGAAATCTATTTTGTGGACGAGCAACAGAATGAATCTTCACTTTCTCAATCTGGTTTGATTATAATAAGTTTGGTTGTAGAACAACCCCTTCTCCCATATGCTATAAATGACAATATAAAAGGTAATCAAAAAAGAAGAAAATTTCACTTTATGCTACAAAAGAGAAACTTATTCCCATGGATACTGCAATAACTTCTTCTTTAATATTTATTTTCCTTTCTTTTCCCTTATAATATGAGGTCTTTCTCAGTCCAGGAGAGGGAGCGGGGATTAATGCTAGAAGTAGAAGTCTCCTTGGCACTGGGATTTGAACTCGTAATTTTCAGTTTATGAGGTTTCAGAGAAACCAACGTGTGTTTCACACAATGCCTGTTTGGCCACCTCACCCCAATACTGCATGTACACAACCCATGGATATTGCAATAACTTCTTCTTTAACATAGTTTTCACCAAATTTCTAGTGCTTTTTGAAACATTAATATGTTATTTAATTATTACCTATTATTATAAATATAAACTAAAACCACATTTGAAAACAATTACATTTTATATTTTTAACTGTGACGCTAATAGTTTAATATGTACAAATTTTATTTTATGCACGCTTTTCTAAAAAAAAATCAAAATTCCTAAAAAAGTTTGATATACAGTGATTTTCGATGCATAAAAGTTTGCTTTACAGAGGTTCAACTGTATTTCTTTTTACACGTAAAGATCAAACTAAACTTTGATTTATTTCAACAATTCAATTATATCAGAGATAAAGATTTAACAGAATAAAGATTATTTCATCCAATTATTATTTTATGAAGAAGAGTCATAAAGTGATCTTCATGTTTTTTTTTTATGGCGGAGTCTCTTTCATTAATTAATAATTTTTATTTATTTTTCTTTTCGCATATACCATCAATAATTTAAATAAAAATATAAAAACAGACAAATATTAAATTCATAATATAAAAAACAATAACTCAAAAAGGTTGAAACCAAATTCAATCTCAGATAATAGATGCAATGTGGCTATAAAAATAAGGCAACTTTATCTCCTAAAAATGTATTTTTATAAGTCATGGGTCATAGGATAGTTTGAACTCAGTCAGTTTTTAAGATTTTTATCGCCAATGTTTCAACCCAAGCCTTTAATGGAGTCATCATCAGGGCGTTTTACCAACACTAATGATGACACAAAGCTTGGGAAGTTGGGAAACGTTGCTAGTAAAAATCTTAAAAACTGACTGCATCTAAACTATCCTATCTCCCATGATATTTAGAACAGCCGACAAACTTCCTTCAATATTTTTACAAATGTTACTTATAGATCAAAAATGATTAAAAGATGTATGCTGCAATTTTTTTTTGTTTATAATACATACAATGTCTTATATAAATACTCTTAATTACATATCAAGCTAATTGTATTGTTACCTAAAACAGAAAAAATAAATCATGAATATGGGCTAGAAAACGAAAACATTGATAAAAGAAAATTAATAAAAATTATAAATTAAAGAAAGAGATTCCTTCAACAAAAACCCCAGAGAAAGATTATTTCGTGTTATAATTTAGTTCAATCAGATGAAGAAACATGACATCCAGAAAATTCTGTTTTCAAGGAAATAACTTAAACCCTTTCACCTTTTCTCAATGCTTCAATTCATTTTATTTATTACAACAACGTTTCAGGCCAACTTTTTTTTTACAACCATGAATAACAATATATTATTCAATCATAATTATAATTTTTTTATTCACCTGCATCTGATGCTGTATGTTGGCAGTGTTGACAAGCAGTGTCTGCTGCTGTTGCTGGGGGGAAGCGACCGAAGATACGACCTGCCCTTCCAGAATCTGGCCGCCTTCCTGACCACCGTTCCCGCCACCACCGGCAGCCTGCACTACCTAACAATAACAGACACAAAAATAAATAATTTCAATCCATAATTATTATTAAAGATAGTGGATCAATAATATAAAAATGAACAAATAATAAAATCCATGTGATCGAGAATTCTAAGTGTATAACTATCAAAATGCCTCATCATTAAAACAACAGGATGGCTGGATAATTATGATGATGGTTGTATAAATTAATTAATTATTAAAATAAAAGGATTCTTCTCAGTAGTTTTAATTCTTTTATTTAACTTTATTCTTCAAATATGATTCAACATCGATTCCATCAGTCAAAATTCAATTTGAAAAAACAAACCGAGTAGATTGTTCTGAAAAACTTGAAATAATTAAGTTTAACCCCTTCTTCTCTTACATTGAAGTTTATCATCTAACTTTTAATGTTCCATTAAGTTAACAAAATAACATAAGGAAGAAAGGGGAAGGGGTGTAGCGAAGGAGTCTGAACAACAATTCCCATATTTTCCACAGCTCTTTCCTCAATTAGAGCCTGTTTTAATATTGTACTAATAGTTTAAATTGATGGAGGCCAATAAATTTTTGTTTATATTCTTAAATCTACATTAGTTGCTTTGTGCATATTTGTATTTTATTGCACATTAGTAATTTTAGCATTTGATTATTTTTTGTTTTGTAGTAATTTTTTGTATTAGTTTCACCTAAGTATGTACTATATAATAGCACTAATGTAGTAAATTCAAATATGTTCTTCTATATGATAAGTGGTATGAAAAGAGAGGATTATTAAAAAAATAATGTACCTGTTAATGTAATGCCAAAAAAGAGATTAATCAGTATACTATGTATTAAGCAATCCTATGTAGTAGAGTAGCACTACTTTACATAAAGTATTTATCTCCTTTATTTTGGAACCTTTAAAAATTTATGTAGCAACTAATATTTTAGCTAAGACAACTTCGAAAACTAACAGAAAAGTATGCGTACCTGCATTTGGTGTTGAAGATTGGCAGTATTGACAAGAAGCTGTTGCTGTTGCTGCGCGGCTTGCTGCTGCTGCTGTGCCACCTGCTGCTGCTGAGCCTGTTGCTGCTGTTGTGCAGCTTGTTGTTGCTGCTGCTGCTGCTGCTGTTGTTGACTGTTGTCCATCCTGTCGGATGAGTCTCGTCACAGTAAGTGTTCTATTTCACAGTCCTTGTCAATCTAAAAACGTAAAACAACACCTCAATAATCAATTAAAAACAAAAACTTAATTTTTAATTTTTATTGTTTACTAAAATAATTACTTCTATATACATATAAATATGTATATTCTCAAAGTAAAATACAAACAGTACTTGTCGAAAAAAAAATGAGACTGATGCGAATCGAATCATCAAAGTCACTCAGATAATGGCTCATTTTACCTCAGATAAGATAAGCCAGCGATAGGCACAAGATCCTAGTTGTTTCGTTTATAAAAAAAAAAAAACCTGATACCGCCTCATCACAGATAACTGGGCGTCATTTTATGTTCTAAAATAACAATGTCTTGTTTCGACAAAACAACATTCATATATCAATTACGTATCATCTACCTCTTTGCTAAAAATTAATGAAATAAAGATATAGCATTAAAATTTCCAACTTTATTATATATAAAAATTGAAGATAAAAATAAGTAATTTAAAACTAAGCAGGGATGTTCAATCTTTTATTACATGAAACCAGTAAAACTCAACATCAATTCTATTTATAACAGCATTGTTCTATTATATGATGGAAATTTGGTTTGGTAGTAGGTGTGATAGTTTTAATCTTTCGTAATTAGTTCTCATACAGAATCGTTTGACAATGAAATATTTCAACCCCCCTCTATTAAGTTAAGCATATGTGAAAAACTTAGTATGCGCAAATTATCCGGTCAATCCGAAAAATGATATGATATGAGATATTTTAAAGAAAAAAACCAAACAAGTTTCTAAAACTTCAGATCTAATCACAGAGATCAAGTAATATTCATTTATCTGTAGTCGTACAACGATGTCGATCTTAGGGCCGCATAATCCGAGCTATTTTCGAGGGGCGCCGTCCAAGAGAGAGGCGCCCGCCACTTGTTAAGAATAGAAAACTAAATAAAAAACGTATAAGAATCATTAAATTTAGCCTTATAATAAAGTAACTGAATAAGAGAAATATTGAATGAAATAAAATTCAAATATTACTTAATATAAAACAGTTTAACGAATAAATTAAATTTTTTGAAAAGAGAAGTCATTGCTCGGGAGCACCAAATGTCGAAGGCCGGTGCTGTCCTACAAGGAAACGCTACACTTTCAAACGCTCGTGCTCGTCATGGTTTAGATGTGTAAACTCGGTTAAACAGGAATTGATCATAGAAAAAGGAATAGTACGCTCCTACAATAATAATAGCGAACTTATCTAATCATATGCATTTATTAATACAAATATGTAGACTTTAAGTTAGTTTATGCTCGTCATAAACTTAAGAGACCATTCAAAATATTGGTGGGGTCGAATGTGACCATTTCAAACCTTGGAGAGAAATGCGTTCCCACCGGTTCCCAAAAAAATAGAGAACAGTGTTGTTCACCACTTGTATGTCGAATTAAAAAAGGCTTATAATTCCTTTGACCGTCAGAAGGTGTATTATATTTTAATCGAACAGGTGATTCCAAAAAATAGTAAATTTAGTTAGGATGTGCTAGACAGAAACATTCAATAAAATTCGTTCGGGTTTAAAACAAGGGTATTCCCTTTAACCTGTCCTGTCTAATTTATCATTAGAACATGGCACTAAGAAGGTAATGCGTACCGAAAAACGTTTGAATCTGGGTGGAACAATACGCATGTTGGTTATAAAAGGAGTCTCCAAACTTTTTGGTACGCGGGCCACATTGAGATCTTCACAAAGTCCCGTGGACAGTATTGAGACCTCCACCTCAGTCCTGCAGGCCACGGCTTGTGATAAAAAAAAAAACTCTTGTCCTATAAATGACATTATAGGATTCAGACATGGCGGAAAAACACATGCAATAAATGTTGAAGTAACGCTTTTTTTTTAGTAATCTGTTACATTTTATATTTTCTAATTTTTTTTTTTTTTAAATTTTGCCATCTAATCAAAGAAACTTTTGCGGCCGTAGTTTGGAAACCACGGTATTAAGCCAAGGCACGGAAACTATAAAAATAAGTGTGACAACGTTAATGAAAACCGGTAAAGAACTGGACCCGAAATAAAATGGATAAGACAAATTATATATGGTTAGCTGGAAAAAAGAAGACAATTTCAGTGATATCGATGTAGAAGGGAATATGTTTGAAGACGTAGAGAAGTTTAGGTAAAAATTAGAATTTACAAAACCATTATCCTATCTACGATTCTTTATGGATGCGAAACGTGGCCGCTTACATTAGGAGATGAGCAACGTCCAAAAATAAAAATTAAATATTGCGTAGAATATTCGGACCGAAGAAGGACGAGTCAACCGGAGAATTTAGATGGTAACACAACGCCGAATTGCGAATACCCGCCATCTTACAATTACTATCTTTCACAAGCATTTGTTTCCATCCAATGGGGTATTCGTTATTTCATTATTTCCAGCATTTTAGCATTGGTTAGGTCGATCATACATAATTTTCCTTTAAATTCCTGTCTTCCTGTCCGCTTTTGATTCTCGCTGTTACGTAAAAGGTTTTCATAAATAGAGTCGATTTTTCAAAGATAATGATGCAATTATTTTATATGTAATTTTTAAAGTCATTAATCCTTAATATCCTAGGTAAATGACTCACAAATATATGCTTGTGGGAAGAGGGAGAGGGGTAACTTCAAAAAGTCATTCATGGCCAGTATAGCTTCCTCACCACTTATAATGGTTGAAGCATTATAAAATTACCAATATCTCAAGGTCAATGGTAGTTTGAAATTTAATATGCAAACAAAATCGTTAGAGAACGATTTTGTTAATTGCTCAAGTGATCGGCGATCTTTATTCGTGGAGGTGCAGTTGTATTACTATCTATTTCACTATCGTTTTCACACAGAACACGATCTACTGGACCAATCCATACCAAGAAATTGCAGCGACATACTCGTATCGCATTCTGAATGGACGAGTCTTAAAATCTTTGGGACAGACAAGCTGTTTTTTAAATACACAAATGTAAGGAAAATACATTTCCCCATGTTTGAGCTAAAGTAGAGTTAGAATTCGATGAAATTGAATCTGGAACATTAATAGTAAACTAGTTCTCAACTTTTCCTCCATCTAGATCCAAGTAGGACGAGGCGTTTTTGAAATATTATTGTGTCAAGGAAAATTCATCTGTGCTTGTGTTACCAAAAGTAGTAGACCGAATTTGATAAAATTGATACTAGACCATTTTTACGCTGATTCCAATGGATGCCAAGGGGGTTTGATGGGATTTGAAGTTGCGCCATCAAAATTGTTGGGGGCGCACATTTCGGCGAGGTTATGAATTTTCAGAATGAAAAGTTTCATACTAAGCGACAAGGGGAAAACATGTAACAGACTGCAGCAAAAGGAATTATGCATGATCTACTATTTTTCTAATTCTACCATTGTTTGCAATGTTTTTAAGAAAAGTGAGCAATAAAATATCATGGGAGAGGAGGGAGGATAAGGTTCTTGCGCCATCGACCTTGGTGGGTGATGGGCACTGCTGCTGATTCCAACATTTCTATATCTTTGTGACAAATAGGGCACAAAGATATAGTTTTCTATAAATATAGATTGTTAAACGTTTTATAACTATACGTTTGTGCATACGATATTGATGAATTAAAGTATTACCCGCAAATCCATGCAAACTAAATCAAAATCGATTACGACACAGAATCAAATTTGTACCTTGATGTCTCAAACATGAAACACGAGAACTTTTTCGATTTTGAGAACAAAAAATTACAGGGTTAAAATAACCCCCTTTCAGAACATATAATGCATACTTCCATCATTTATCGTTATGAAGTTTAATATTCCTTTACCTTAACAAGTGGTTCGCAAAATTAATTACATATCTGTCTTCTATTCAACACGAATCGGAAATTTTGAGATAAATTTACCAATGTATTGGAAAAGATATTGGTTTGATAAAGTAAGTTATAAAGTGATCTCACTTGGAATGGATGGATGGTGGAAGATTTTAGAACAAGTCGGTCTTAAGCTAAGTGAATTATCAAATTTAAAATATAAGAATACAATGTTTGTGTACTGCAATCATTAAAGACAAAAAGAGGAATTGGAAGATATTTTTTTTTTAAAACATGTTGAGAAAAAAAAGACAACAGAACACACTCTATTTGTAGGCCTGCCTTCGATAAGCAAAATAAAATCGAAGAGGTGGCCCGGAGAGGAGAATCGATTTGAATACTCGGGGTGAACGGGACCAGCTGCTGACTCCTACCCAAGCTCCGGTTACACTTCGACAAATAATGGCAGTCCCGAGGCTTGATGGTACATTTATCAGATAAAAGAGGTGGGAGTCAGCCTACGCAAGATGTCTGATAAAATTTTACAATTCTTAAATAAAATAATTAAGATTAGCATACCCAAGTGAGAAATCTCACAATAGATATCTACCCTTCTCCCAACATGTATGCGACATCAGCGCACACGCGGATCTACGGGGGAGAGGGAGGCTTTCGTGCTGAAGGCCCCCCCCCCCAAAAAAAAAATAATGGTAAAATATAACAATGTTTTATGGAAAAAATATTCAAAATATTATCTCGTTATAAGTATTATTGTTCGTGTAATTACATTTAATAGGACGCTCTCGCTCAAACTCCACTGGCTATAGTACCATTGACGCGGTTGAGTGAGTAGCGCAAGGATCTGTTAAGAGTCCTGCTTTTCCTTCCATAGATGGAGGCAGAAGCCTGGCTTGGGGTTCCCTGCCTGATTGCATATATTGTACATAGGTATGACTGTGGTTTTATGTCTTTAATTTACTTATTTTTAGGTTATTTTATTTTTTATTGTACATAGTTTTTTTATTACTATTTACTTATTTTTTTACTTTGGTAATTTTATATTTTCTGGATATATGGTGTGAATGTGTTCATATATCACTATAATTATTGTCCACGAGACAGATTGTTATATGTCTAAATAAATATTTTAAAAAATAGGACTTCAAGAATCACTCAAACAACGTTTCATATAGGAAGTTAGTAT